TACATTAAAAATGAATCCCAATGAATGGGTCAATATAGCTCAATTATCCTGCAGAGGAACTATCCTTTGGCATATGAATGTGGAGTTTGCACCACTGGTGCAGGAACTGAGTTTGGGATGTAAAGATGCATAGTTGTATTGATTAAATCGTTTGGCCCAGGATACCTGTATATGATTGCTTGTGTAAGAACTGATGGTCTTCAATTCGGTTATGTTGGATATGCGAGGGTCATGGCACCCTCGATATCCGCTCGAGACCACTACATTCAGCGCTGTATATTCTTCAACCAAATCGTAACCCTGAGTCATGGTAATTCTCTGAATCACAATGGGGGGCGGAGAGGGGGGTGCATTATCAACATTGCTTCCTTGAGCATGGGGGACACTTAAATATCAGTTCACTGTATTGTGTGTCTAATGGCATATGGCCCCAGTCCAGGGAAAATTGGAAATCAGACATTTAACTCGTCCATATGACCTATAACATTTAAAACAAATTAATATCTCTATTATAAATGTCCGTCAGCCGCATTTGTATTTAGCCAGTACTGTCAAACATTTCAGTTACCCTGTCAGCTAGTCACGGCTTTTATTATTTTTACACTGTGCCGTTGGAAATAAATTTAGTGGAGTTATGTTAACAGAGCTTTATTTCATCCCGGAGAAATGGAGCATGTGGATATTTTGTATCAAAATAAAACCTGATATTTTTTTTACTTCTCAAATTAAACATCAATTTAATGAGCCTGACATTGCCCGGCATCTTGCCAAATGTGTTGAAGTGGGCATATATATTTTTTAAATCATAATTAAAATGAAACTAGTTTGACTGGCTGCACCCTAGCTCCCCTGGGAACCAGCAGCACCTGTGCGTAGGCTGGAGACGATAGCCAAGGAAATAAAATAAAATAAAAATCAATACCCAGAAACCCACTTTGCACTCTGCCGAGTGTGCAAGAGAAGCGTTGTGCAGAGGCGAGACTGCCGAGCACCATCGCACATGATTTTTCACGGCTGCGTCAACGTGGAACGTCGGGGAATAGATAAAATAATGATTTCATATTTGTTGTGCAGACGGTGTACAGATTGCAGGCAGTGTTTGTGTTCTGTTTTTTTTACGAATTACCAGTTAAAGGCGCAGCCCACTCGATTGCTCGCTTACGCTGTTGCTGGCGGGCGAGAGAGGCTTTTCACCAGAGGGAACGCTCATGAACCCCACTGGAGGTTTTTCGCTTGACCATTGCAATGCTGGCCCATTATCTTGGACGAGGTGGAAGTACCCACACAGTCTTCTCAACCACACGTGGCCAGTCCATCGACTAACTTCTGGGTGGAAAACAGAGGTGCGGCGGGGGGGGATTTAAATTCAACGTGCATATTTTGCAATAGAATATTATGATTTTGCAGTGATTTCAAATTAACATGTTAATATTCTTCACTGGCCTCTTGCTCCTTAAGCAGTTATGATATTTATAATGCGACACGCGGAAATTAGTGTGTCGTCATCTCCTGGTGCATGTGGCGTTTTGTTGGTGCGTAAACGTGTGCCGATGTGCTCGTTGGTATCGGTGGATTCATTCATGAATTTCGTGCCTCATTTGTCAAGCAGTCAATAAAAGGCTGAGTTATAAACCGTGTGAGAGCCACTTAGCTTCATAAAATACCTTTTCTGCGAAGGAAACCAAAACAAAATCAACAATCCAGAAGTTCTAGCAAAACGTAAAAATGTGCAATGTTTACAAATGCAGATATACATAGCAAAAATGATTTGAATTTCAGTCAGCGTAATCGTTATATACGGTCATCAGGTGAGCTTATTATTTGTTTATCATTTTGTGATACTTCGTTGGCAGTGGTGCACTTATAACAAGAAAACATTCAACAGATTTATTATTAAATAACACCATGTGGCCTTAAAAATGATATATGCATATAAATAAATGTTTTGGGCACAGGTGTGTTTTGTTCATGACGGTTAAATACCTTGTTGTGCAATAACTGTCTAAATAGGACATAAATAAAATAAACATAAATATAAAAAGGCCAGAGGTGATTTCCCCATCTGTCACCTTTTATACATAGTTTTTTTTTCTTTTTAAGGCAGTGTTATTGATGAATGTGTTGCATTTTTGAAAGTTAAAAAATATATATCATGTATAGGTACATCAGTTTCTTTTCATAGGTATGTCAGTTGAGAGAACGTGGTTGAACCAAAGCTGACTGCCTAGAATTGAACCCAGGAGTTTTGCGAGTGCAGGTTGAGTGTTCGAAACATTGATCACTGTGACCCCCCACCCCCCTCCTTGGTCATCTTGTCGAATTTGTACTTCTGGGAATTATGTCTTAAGTGTTCTTGTGAAATCAAAACAAGTTTAGGAAAAAATCACGGATCACGTCCTAGTCCTCGGCAGGAATTAATTGGCAATATGGAAGCTGCCGCTTTTGCTGTCGAGGTAAGATGCATTTGTCTATGTGCACATTGTTCATTTTGCCCAATTTTCGGGCAGTCCTTGGGTGAATGTGGCAAATCTTTAAGAGGAAAAGTCTCGAATAGGAACAAAAGTTTATACCAAAGTTGTGTTCCTATCGGGGAATATTTACCAGAATTGTAGTGCCCCTCTCCTCCTTGATACACAAGGACAGAGAGCTTATAACAGTGTTTTTTTTTTTAAACCCCTTGCTCTGTGAATTACCCCTGCTGAATGTTGCAAGCTCGGTCCTTATTTTGAGCTGAAGACATTTGAGATGTGTGTGTGTGACTGGCCCAGAGTATTGTGACTGTAGGCAAGAGGAGTCAGCGGTCATTACACAACCTCAGTTCATTAGAAGGAAATTGTAATCGCAGAGTCGTGCCGTAATGCGATGAGGTGGGAGTGCGATGTGGTGCGGCGACGCATTAGGAATTTTAACAAGGAGGCTCGAGATGTGCGCACGGGGGATGGTGGGGGTGGGGTCACAGTGGTTCATGGAGTCCATTCCACTCACACACACACACAGCAAAACCGCATTTAAGGGTGAATTTTTATTGAAACATTTGTGATATAACAATCGCAGCCTTCTTCTTGTAGAACACTTCAATCCACTGCTGGATGAAGGGCGTCTGTGCCGTCTCAGTCCTGGGGTCATTTTGACCATACTTCACCACACTGGGCTGGCGCCATTTCAGATATCCTCCGCTAAAATTGTCTGAGGAGGTTGGGAATCAAAATTAGGTTGTGCTAACTACTACCCGCGCCATCACTCCACCACCCCCTTAATCTAAAAGTTTCTCCAAAGCTCAATTCAGCTTTGGAGTGGTGCTCATCTCTGTTGGTGGCTCTGAGCCAGTGGTGATAATTAAACTTTCCCATGGCAGGGGCCATTTTCTCCATACGTTAACGACCGTTTTCACAAAGTTACGTTGGGCTGACTCGGCTACATGCGAAGAGTCGAACTGTCCCCCCCGCACCTCCGATTAGCACGGTTGGCTACGTACAGTGCAAAAGAAGTTCAACATACAGGCTCGGTTTCACTTACTCGATGCTCCTTTTGGAAATGAGAGCATGGTACCGCCTTCCCCTGCGAACAGAATAATCGTATATCATTAAAACCAGTTTTTGTTGCATCTTTTCTATTGCGTTTCCAACACGGTTTTTTCTTCAACCAACAAGTGGATGGGGCGATGTTGACGACGATAAGTGACGGTTAATAACTACGGTAATTTAAATTCTATATTGTGTTCCACTGAGAATAATGTCGAGTACTTTGTCAGACTGCTTCGTCAACTTTTCGTGCTGTCAATCCTGGTTAAGTGGACCAACCCTTCAGCAGAAAAGTTTCCTGCTCACAATGAAGAGAGACCGTACAAGTGTTAAATTTCGATTTAAAGCTTTCGTGACTTCAAGGATTCATCTTCTTTGGTTCTTTCGGTAAAGTCACGTAGAATGAGAATAAAATAATAAATTGATAAAATAACACAATAATATTCTCACGACGTTTTGATGAAGGCCGCTTGTGTTGTGGCCGAAACGTCGTGAGAATATTATTGTGTTATTTTATTTTATCAATTTATTATTTTATTCTCATTCTACGTGACTTTACCGAAAGAACCAAAGAAGACGTACAAGTGTTGTTGTGTAAAGCTGCATAGCAGTGAATGGGCATCCAGCAACATGGCAATAAAACATGTGTGAAGATGTTTAAGCACCAACTAGATACCTTTTGTAAGGCATGCGCATCTTTCATTTGTTCTTGATCATCACGTTTGCTCACGATGCTGTGGGGCGCAGGAGGTGAACACCAAGACTTGACAACCGGTGGGGTAGAGTGCGACGTTTACGTTTGATGCGAAGCCACGTGTGTGTTGAAACAGATGCTCGTGAATAGCGCTTGCCCCCAACAGTTTGTTAAGGCTATAGGGGAATGTTTGTCTGTGTTGAAAATATCAAAACAATAGACCACCATGACCCTGCATCTTTTGAATAACCTGCAAACATGTCAATATATTTAAATCATATACACAAAACAAAATTTGTCAAACCAGGGCGACACTGGTTATGTGACCTTAGCCGTTATGGGTAAATGCAAAAAATAGCAGTAGAATTCTGTACTTTGTCTTCACGTATGAACACAAATCAGTATAGTCCATCGTCCTATTGGCTTTTGGAGACCAATATTATTGAGCAGGATTAAGTTTAAGCAAGCGAACCCTGGACTGACTGGTTTTGGCCTTCTGGATCTTCTCAACAGTGTTCGTGTACTTATGCACGCTTTTGATTTGAGGCTGTTTAGGTAATTCTAGTAGTCTAACCGCCATCGCGTTTGCCATTGGTAGAATTAGAATTTTAGTTCCCACTACAGCTGCCTGCAATTCTGGAAACACTTTGAATGACCACACCTCACCAGACCTCTTGCTAGACAGACACTCTCAGTGGGCCCTCTCTCTCTCTCCCGTGGTTGAATATGGAGCGTTGATCCGTGACGTATTTAAGTTTGCTTGTTGCGCATGTGTACGTGTTCAGAGATGGGCGCCGCTGGTCTCTGGCTTCACTGCCCTCCTCGGGGTATGGCACCACCACCCCCAGCTCAGCTGTTTCGGTACGTACTGTACCACACTGCCATGCACTGCCCCGCGCTGCCATGCACTACCCCGCACTGCACCGCACAGCCACGCACTGCCCCGGACACAGCACGGCATTGAACTGCACTATGCTTGTATGTATGTTTATTTAACTTATTTCGCACCATACCTAGCCAACCATGCTAATCGCAGATGCTAATCGGAGGTATGCCCTGGCTTGCACGTGTTTGGCGTGACACTATATTACGCTCAGACTAATTGTCTTGTCTTGACCAGCACGAATTGGCGCTGAACCCTGTGCAGTATTACTGGCCTAACATTACGAAGACATAGTGTATATCTCTGCGTGGCAAGCAGTGGCATAGCCGTTAGCCACTGCACTGTGAATCCAGACACAGAGAGTCGTTAGCGCCATCGTCGTTTCTTATGCCATGCTGGACATTACCCACGTAACAATTCACTTGCCTTACGGTACAAAGAATATTCACAATTCGCCAGTCGTGATTTCGTTCAAAAATGCATGTTGATTTTGCCCCTGTGGTACAAGTTGAATCCGCAATGCCTGTAGGGTTTAAAAAATGAGACCTTTTTGCCAGTATCAACGTATAAAAAATAAGAATAGGTTTTACCCTTTCTTGCAATAAAACAGGTGTTAAGATGCCTGTAGTGTTGCTTTCCATGGATCAATCACATCCAAAATATATGAATTGAAGATAAACTCTTCTTTCATGCGTACGTCATTGCATATGTCGTGAACATAAATAATACATTTATAATCAGTGATCTTATGGATTTTTAGGCGTGGCCTTAATGGGTTCCTGCACATACAGTGAGGGAAAAAAGTATTTGATCCCCTGCTGATTTTGTACGTTTGCCCACTGACAAAGAAATTATCAGTCTATAATTGTAATGGTAGGTTTATTTGAACAGTGAGAGACAGAATAACAACAAAAATCCAGAAAAACGCTTGTCAAAAATGTTATAAATGGATTCGCATTTTAATGAGGGAAATAAGTATTGGACCCCCTCTGCAAAACATGACTTAGTACTTGGTGGCAAAACCCTTGTTGGCAATCACAGAGGTCAGACGTTTCTTGTAGTTGGCCACCAGGTTTGCACACATCTCAGGAGGGATTTTGTCCCACTCCTCTTTGCAGATCTTCTCCAAGTCATTAAAGTTTCGAGGCTGACGTTTGGCAACTCGAACCTTCAGCTCCCTCCAGATTTCCTATGGGATTAAGGTCTGGAGACTGGCTAGGCCACTCCAGGACCTTAATGTGCTTCTTCTTGAGCCACTCCTTTGTTGCCTTGGCCGTGTGTTTTGGGTCATTGTCATGCTGGAATATCCATCCACGACCCATTTTCAATGCCCTGGCTGAGGGAAGGAGGTTCTCACCCAAGATTTGACGCTACATGGCCCCGTCCATCGTCCCTTTGATGCGGTGAAGTTGTCCTGTCCCCTTAGCAGAAAAATACCCACAAAGCATAATGTTTCCACCTCCATGTTTGACGGTGGGGATGGTGTTCTTGGGGTCATAGGCAGCATTTCTCCTCCTCCTCCAAACACAGCGAGTTGAGTTGATGCCAAAGAGCTCCATTTTGGTCTCATTTGACCACAACACTTTCACCCAGTTGTCCTCTGAATCATTCAAATGTTCATTGGCAAACTTCAGACGGGCATGTATATGTGCTTTCTTGAGCAGGGGGGGACCTTGCGGGTGCTGCAGGATTTCAGTCCTTCATGGCGTAGTGTGTTACCAATTGTTTTCTTGGTGACTATGGTCCCAGCTGCCTTGAGATCATTGACAAGATCCTCCCGTGTAGTTTTTCTGGATTTTTTTGTTGTTATTCTGTCTCTCACTGTTCAAATAAACCTACCATTAAAATTATAGACTGATCATTTCTTTGTCAGTGGGCAAACGTACAAAATCAGCAGGGGATCAAATACTTTTTTCTCTCACTGTACCACTCGGCCTCCAAAAAGTCTGCCATGCTGAAGGGGAGGCCAATCTATTTGTCGATCTGTGTGTGTAATGTAGTTGTGCTTCTAAAAATATGTTCAAATGTAAGATATTGTGTCTATACAAATATTGTTTGTATTTACATTGAGTCAGTAGTTAAGCGTGCCACTGAATTTTGAATTTGTCATTGCCTGATACTTAAGGTCTCAGAATATTTGGCAGAATTTACATCCAAATGCATTTTTTCACATTGTAGCATAAGGCTTCCAGTTGTTAACTTATAATGGGCAGTTTTTATCAGAAAACCAGTTTGGAAAATGTGTATTAGAATATTTCCTTGTTATTCATGAACTTGCAATTTTGGCTATCCGCCAATCGCATCTGGAACTCTACACAACTGCATCAAGAGAGAAAAGAAATCAAGTGATTGGATAAAGTGATGAGAGACAATGTGATGCGAGAAAGTGACATACAGTAATGAGATAAATTGATGAGAGAGAAAGTTTATTTATTTATTTCGGGTAATTCATTATCATTATTCGCGAAATTTGCTGTTCACGAGCATCTCCGGAGCGTATCCCTCACGAATAAAAAAGGAATGCTGTATGATTATTTAGGCATAAATTGCAGCAAGGGAGCGATCACTTTACTGGCTGCTCATGCTCACGACATCTCCATCAATTGCCGAGAGAGAGAGAGAGAAAGATAGCTTTCATTGGTGCAGTTTTAATCATAAGTAGATGCTCCATCCTAATTAGAATTAAACACAACACATTAATCAACCATTCCCAAAAGAGAGAGAGAGAGCTTTCATTGGTGAAGTTTTTTATCATCAGTAGACGCTCCATCCTAATTAGAATTAAACTCAACACATTATTCAACAACACTGCCTTATAAAATAGAGCAAGAGTATATAGTCGGCGAAGTTTCAGGCAATGGCTCTTCACAGCACACAGCCTGTGAAGAAGGGATTTTGGGCAATACATTGCCTATTAATATACTCTTTGTTTATTAAGGCAGTATTGTAAAATAATAATTTTGTTTTTCTATGTGCTTGTGTGCTATTGCCATTGGTAGCAGCAGCATCACTAGATAATCTTCTGAATTAGTTTGCTCTTTATTATCTCGCATCCAACTTCCCAGGTGCAACACATCAATTAGCCGTGCAACTTGCTGCTGTTACCTCTTTGACTTTGTCTGCATCTCATTCGACCCTATAACTACAGAAGCCTATTGTACTGATATGTGCCTGAATGTTTGAGAGTAAATACATAACTAATTTGCCCAGTAATGGGGGCTGCTTAATCGCCTGAAGGAAATATCATTCAACCGATTAACCGTGGGATTTCTGAATCTTGAGTATTCCAGTTACATTTATTCAAACAACAGAGCCGTAGACCTCTTTGGACTTAGCTGAATGTCATCATCAGTGGTTTGTTGCCCTTTCAACGCATAGTTTTAGTTGTGCCCACTTGGAAATCAACTCTAAGATCCTAATCGTTTCAGAAGTAGCCATTTGAAATTATGCGAGTAAAAAGCGTTTTACAAAAGTGGTTAATCCTAACTGCCAGTAGAGTGTGTTGGTGTGTGTGTGCGCACAGACGCATAGTCATGTACAGTTGTGCACAAATGAGCAGGCGGTTAACGGTTATTGCTTAAGACTGGAAGAAAGTTATGCCCTTTTCAGCTGATGCCCTTTAATAAGGGCCCTTTGTTTTTATGTGGTGCCTAAGCCACATTTACAATGACCGTATTGGGATGCTATGGGAAGCCGTAGGGGTCAACCAAGAGAAGTATTCAGGGCAGTAGGAGAAACATCCCAAGCCGGCCTGCATGGATACTTTCTTTTCTTTTTCATGCAGCACTCATCAGAGGGAACGTTCTTCCAGATGCAGGTACAGCCCAATGTTCTGAGGCTTTAACGCTTTAATGGCTAGCTCTGGGTGCTTCAGGGACGTGGTTAGCATCTCATGTTGACTCACACTCGGGCTTGCCCTTAACAGCCAGGAAGATCATAGGTCACACAGCGGTTTCATGTTACCACTCTCGGCAGGAGCTTCTACTGAATGAGTGGTCATGTGTCGTGCGCGTGTGTGTGTGTGTGAGAGAGTTTATGAGTGTGTGTGTGTGAGTTTCTCATTGTGTGTGTGTGTGAGAGAGTTTGCGATTGTGTGTGTGTGTGAGAGAGTTTGGGATTGTGTGTGAGAGAGTTTCTGATTGTGTGTGTGTGAGAGAGTTTGTGATTGTGTGTGTGAGAGAGTTTGTGATTGTGTGTGTGAGAGAGTTTGTGATTGTGTGTGTGTGTGTGAGAGAGTTTGTGATTGTGTGTGTGTGAGAGAGAGTTTGTGATTTTGTGTGTGTATGTGTGAGAGAGAGTTTGCAATTGTGTGTGTGTGAGAGAGTTTGCGATTGTGTGTGTGTGTGAGAGAGATTGTATATGTGAGGGAGTTTGTGATTGTGTGTGTGTGTGAGAGTTTGTGATTGTGTGTGTGTGTGAGAGAGTTGGTGATTGTGTGTGTGTGAGAGAGTTTGTGATTGTGTGTGTGTGTGAGAGATTGTGTGTGTGTGAGAGAGTTTGTGATTGTGTGTGTGTGTGAGAGAGATTGTATGTGTGAGGGAGTTTGTGATTGTGTGTGTGAGGGAGTTTGTGATTGTGTGTGTGTGTGTGTGAGAGAGTTTGTGATTGTGTGTGTGAGAGAGAGTTTGTGATTGTGTGTGTGTGTGTGTGAGAGTTTGTGATTGTGTGTGTGAGAGAGAGTTTGTGATTGTGTGTGTGTGTGAGGGTTTGTGATTGTGTGTGTGAGAGAGAGTTTGTGATTGTGTGTGTGCGCGCGCGCGCATGTAAGAGAGGTCTGTGTCTGTGAGAGAGTGTCTGTGTCATTTTGTCTTCCCTGGGGCCAGCTCGAGACAGTTGTTTTTCTCTCTCAACTCTGGCATCAATGGTTAAGGATTGTGCCAATGGGTGGTACAGGGGGCAGTGCAGTGGTTGTGGTGCACATGTTCAGACAATCACTCGCCGGTTTAGACATCGTTCGCTACTCACGTGAGCCATGGCCGGGAATCAAACTGGGGTTCCGAGTTCATCGTCTAGTGCGCTAACCGCTCCTCCATCACTCCTGACCATAATTAAGTTATCACATGAAAAAAGCATTGATGAGTGGACACTATTCAAAGACTTACATTGCCCTGGGCAGCGGGGGGCAGCATTGCTGACAGGGGGCAGCGGTGGAGGGGGGGCTGCAGCGGGTGTGAAGGTTAGGGTGAGGGCGGCTCCTCGGGGCAGCCCCCTGACGGTGTCTCGTCTTCACCCACACGCAGTCCTCGTGCTCGTCACAGGAGCGTCTCCACCAGCTCCCGGCGGCGCCCACTGCCGACGAGCTGCACTTCCTCTCGCGCCACTTCTGCAGCACGGAGCACCTGGCCGACGATGACGGAGGAGGGGGAGGAGGAGGAGGAGGAGGTGGTGGAGGAGGAGGAGGTGGTGGAGGCGGCGGTGGCGGCAGCTGCGTTAGCAGCGTCGGCAGCGGCGGACGACGCTCGCCTGCGCTCCGCCCCCGCTCACGCAGCCTCAGGTGCCCGGGATCGTTCCATCCGTACACTCGCCACTCCGTCCGTCTGTCCGCCCGTGTGTTAGTCCATCCGTCTCTCTGACACATTGCTTGGAATCGGAATATTGATCAGAATTTGTATTTACACTGGAGGAATCCGATAAATTACGAAGCTCTTTTTCACAGATGTCCAGGAGGGGTGGCTCCTACAGCTCCAGCTCCTGCCCCACCTCTGCCCCATCTCCAGTTTTCATAGTCACCTCTTCCTGTCTCACACATCCTTTCGTATTTGTTTATTTCACAATGATTTTCTGATTGTGCTGTTACTACCTTGTCATGAGGTGGTAAAATCCATTCGGGGATATGCTAGCAAGCAGGGCATCTATCCTGTGCTATAAAGGCAATATCAGAGCTACTACTCATAGCAGAACAATTTCTAAGGTTCCATAGTTTTGGCTCTTACATATAGTAGGTGGTATACTTTTGCACATCCGACTGTAAAGATGTTCATCGCCTGACGATCAAACAACAGGCTTTGTCCTCAAGAGCTGCAGGATTCTGAATTACGTGAAAACACATGCACTGCCGGTTGTATTCTTTGCGGCCAGGCTAACCTGGGCATTGAGTAAGCCATGATCGCTAACCTGGGCGTTGAGTAAGCCATGATCGCTAACCTGGGCGTTGAGTAAGCCATGATCGCTAACCTGGGCGTTGAGTAAGCCATGATCGCTAACCTGGGTGTTGAGTAAGCCATGATCGCTAACCTGGGTGTTGAGTAAGCCATGATCACTAACCTGGGCATTGAGTAAGCCATGATCGCTAACATGGGCGTTGAGTAAGCCATGATCGCTAACCTGGGTGTTGAGTAAGCCATGATCGCTAACCTGGGTGTTGAGTAAGCCATGATCACTAACCTGGGCATTGAGTAAGCCATGATTGCTAACCTGGGCGTTGAGTAAGCCATGATCGCTAACCTGGGCGTTGAGTAAGCCATGATCGCTAACCTGGGTGTTGAGTAAGCCATGATCGCTAACCTAGGCGTTGAGTAAGCCATGATCGCTAACCTGGGCGTTGAGTAAGCCATGATCGCTAACCTGGGTGTTGAGTAAGCCATGATCGCTAACCTGGGCGTTGAGTAAGCCATGATCGCTAACCTGGGCGTTGAGTAAGCCATGATCGCTAACCTGGGCGTTGAGTAAGCCATGATCGCTAACCTGGGCGTTGAGTAAGCCATGATCGCTAACCTGGGTGTTGAGTAAGCCATGATCGCTAACCTGGGCGTTGAGTAAGCCATGATCGCTAACCTGGGCGTTGAGTAAGCCATGATCGCTAACCTGGGCATTGATCCCTAGTGACCTCAGCGTGTAATGGGTTCGATGAGCGCCCACGTGCGTGCAAACAAAATATTTTATTTTAATCCACACATGGTTTTTCGTCTTTGCTGTATGGCACCCTAAGTAATTTTTTGTGAACTTATAAACATCTAATTACGATTTCAATATAACACGATCTACCTTAAATTTCGATTTGAAGCTTTCGTGACTGCAATGATTCATCTTCTTTGGTTCTTTCGGTAAAGTCACGTAGAATGAGAATAAAATAATAAATTGATAAAATAAAATAACACAATAATATTCTCACGACGTTTCGGCCACAACACAAGCGGCCTTCATCAGGTGAAGGGACGAGACTGTCTGGTAGGACAGCGCTGGAGTGAAAGAGCCACGTTCAGATCACGGCCTTTAAAGCCTCTGTGGTAGTAGCTACATTGGAGAAACCAAAAGACATATCTCGGACCGCATCCGCGAACATAAAGCAGACTTGAAACACGGTAGGACGAACTCCTCTGCCGTGGCAGATCACTGTTATAATTCAGTGGGCTCACATGACATTGGCTTCTCCAAGACGGAGGTTCTTTGCAAACCAACCGGCTACCATGAGAGATTCGTTCATGAGGCCATTCACATATACAAGCACAGAGACAATTTCAACCGAGAAGATGGATTCTGGCTTAGTAACCACTGGAAATATGTTTTAAACCATTTCTGTTCTTAATTAATTGTATTTTTACGATGACCTTCAGACCGCAGCTCTTTCGCCAGCATTGACTCTTAATACCTCTCACACCACGGTTAATGGTATGGTTTTACAACATGGAGTATAATAGCGCCTCGCAGCTGTCTCTCTCCCCCTCCTCTGTCAGACCATGGACGAACTCGTCCGTCTGAACGGGGCCCGTAGCTATCCGTGGTGCTAAAGTTGAGGCTTAAAGGCCGTGATCTGAACGTGGCTCTTTCACTCCAGCGCTGTCCTACCAGACAGTCTCGTCCCTTCACCTGATGAAGGCCGCTTGTGTTGTGGCCGAAACGTCGTGAGAATATTATTGTGTTATTTTATTTTATCAATTTATTATTTTATTCTCATTCTACGTGACTTTACCGAAAGAACCAAAGAAGACGATCTACCTTGACCGATACACTCTTTGTGCGGCGATGAATAAAGGATTTAATCAATGCCAAAAACCCTCCAAATGTTTTGCAGCGCGAGTGTGTGCATCAAAAGCACGTGGTGTTCATATTCCGCCACCACTATTGTGTGCCGTGTGCTTTTTAGCTGAAACAAAAGGCCGGCTTTTGTGGATGCCAGAAATAAACCTCGCAAAGACAAGAGTGATATTTCCCAAGCATCAACTTGATGCTGAGGGTGGAGTTGGTGGGCAAAGGAAGGATTGGGCGGTAGCGTACGCACACAATGTTCCGTCGGCAACGTCCACTTAACATGAAGATAAGGTTGACCACGGTGAGGTCATTCAAATCTCCCCCAGAGAACTTGGGACCTCCCTTTGCTACGTATTTCGGGTTGTACCACGCGTCGTTCGGTACGACAGCCGACTTTTCCGTTCCACATGCTGGGGAGCACGATTCGGTTGACGTGGAGCAACACAATGGACATCGTGTCGAACGGAAAGCGGTTCAACCCGGAAATACGTTGCAGAGCAATACAACGCAACCGCCAACACCTTACGTGGTGGTGTAACTGAGGCCTGTACAACAGAAGCATGGGTATACAGATTGTCCTTAAAATAAAATGAGTAGATTTACTGTGTCCTGCATTCAATGGGATTGTTTTCAGTGGCCGATAAAACAAAGTTATTCTTTGGGTCTTTCGGTAAAGCCACGTAGATAGAAAAATAATAACTACTGTAGCATTGGATTGTGCACTGGAGGATTGGCTTGCGATTTAAAATTGGATGCATTTGGTCTTCTTGGAAATAATGGAGCCTGGATTAAATGTGAAAATGCTGTGCAGTCAAATTCAGGGCAAAGTAACCAAAATCATTGTAAAAACAAAACAAGCCACTATATTTAAGCAGCTATATATTTATGATTAATACATGAATGACGACATGCAGGGTGGCTGGGAATATGCATATGAGACACAATTGTATTAACAATTTGCATATACTGCATTAGACGATTAAGCCTTTATTCTTGCATATTGCCAAATGTTAAAATAGAATGTTCCAATTACATATATATAAAATCCCCAGTGGTAAATTGGGCAATTAAAGAGGTTTTCCCATCTATTGGGAAGCACATTCTGGTGAAAATCTGCAAGGGCCACTAACATTCAAGTAATGGCCTCTTGAGTGTGAAGGAGGCAGGCTGTAGATAAGGAGCTGTTGTGATGACGGTGGCGGTGGTGGTGGTAATGATGGTTATGCTGTTTTGTTTGTTATTCAGCCCTGGGCGTTCCCCATCTGTGTACGACAATGAGATCGTGATGATGAACCACGTCTACAAGGAAAGGTTCCCAAAGGTAACACTCTCCTCCGCTCAGACATTGCACTACGGTTGTTTCACAGATGTCTTCTGGACATTTGTGAAAAGCTCTGTATATCATCGTATTTCTCCAGGATAAATACAGTAAAACCTTGGATTGCGAGCATAATTCGTTCCGGAAACGTGTTTGTAATCCAAAGCACTCGTATATCAGTTGTGATCACGTGACGCTCGGCAGACAAAGCGTATACGTGCTACTCGTATTGCAAGACCTCGCTCGTTTATTAAATTATTATTTATTTAAAAATTTTGCTCGTCTTGCAAAACACTCGCAGACCAAGTTACTCGCAATCCAAGGTTTTACTGTAAAGATTTCGACTGACAGATGAAGTGGCTTGTGCACCTGCACAAGTTCTCACGGTTGTGCTGCATAACTCTCGGGATGCGTTTTCGGGATGTAGCGCGCTTTGTTCGGCACGATGTCGAACGTTTTTGCTTTGCCCATCGGGAGTTTCTTCAGGAAATCAATTAAAGGAACTCCCAGCGCCTGGGGCAAAACGTTGGGACATCGTGCAGGAACAACATGCGGTACAACCCCAACACACATCGGAGAGCTAAACAAGTGACTTGTTGTTGGTCATGAGATGCCACAGATGGACTATGATTGCCACTTCTTCCACAATCATTGCTCTTAAACCGTGAAACGATATTTATTTTACCAGGTAAGGCCCACTGAGCTATATAGTTGTTTTTCAGAAGCGGCCTGGCCACAAATTATATCTCAGCGAAGTGGTTTATCATCTGTAAATTTATAGCAGCCAAATAATCTAAGCGCATGTTTCTAAATGTGGAGGGAAACACCGGGGACAAGGAGAAAAATCCACACATCCACGGGGAGAACATGCAAACTCCACATGTACAGGCGCCAGGGTCGGGATCGAACCCACGACCTCCTCTATACTAGTGTGTGTGTCACAAGCTGTCCGACATTCGTTTTGAGCTTGCAAAACGATCACAATAGAGTATGTTGAATCACACCATGTTCACAAATTAATTGTGTGTAGCAATTTACGAACATCTTCGGGCTTGGCAGCTGGCAGCATTAACTGGCAAATGCCATCACACCGGCACACAATCACCTTCTTTAACAGCAATGGCAGGCGGCACGGCGCGGTAAATTATCCGCTCACCATATTGTGCAGCTGTGATGGAATAACATCATACCCACACCAGCTGGCGACCACGGGGGCTGTCTAGCCGATGGGGTTGCCTGTGCAATGCGTCGCCTTACCCCGCTTATCTCACCTGTTGTGGTGAGCACAGCGCCGGGCCGTAGATTTTATTTAAAGCTTGCGAACCCAAAGCACCGACCTCAGGGTGGATTTTAAGGGACACCGTCGCATTCGTCTTCATCAGAGTGAAACCACACACGCATAAGCGTCGGGAGCACAGGGGAGCAACGCAGTTTAGAGTGCGCATGTTTCGTTATCACCCCTGCAGTGTGTCTCTAAATCCGCAACACAAAATGAGTTTGGCTCTATACAAACAAAAGCAATATCCCCCCCCCCATAGAGCCATTGAGACCGTTGGGGCAAGTGCCACATTTGTTAAGGTCAGGCCGGCGTACAAGGCAGTGGTGTAGCCAATGCTGGTGTTACATACCATGCCAGACACTCATTTCAGGCTGAGTCAACCTAGGGAAAGCCCAAGACAAGTGCAGATACTGCTTTCCACTGATTTTATTCCTGACTTGGAATTGAACTCAGGTCATTGGGTTTGTAGCGCAGTGCGCTAACTACTGGACAGCCGCTGCCCACACATTGAAACACACACGCACGTACAGGCACGCACACACACCAGAACATGCACACGTACGAGCACATGTGCCCATATCTAAAGGACATCACTTTTGCTTGAGATTTAATCTCGAAGCTGACCCACATGTGCGAAGTGAGGGGGGGGAAAAGGAACGTGTTTTAGAATGACATCATCTTTCACCTACATCACCTCTGACAACAATGCACGCACATTTGGTGAAGCTTGTGCGTGCATAGTCATGGATTGCAACCTGAATGCATGAATAAAAAAGTGATTATTTATCCTGGATAGACTGCTGGAGAAATTTACATTTGTGCAAACCTATTCCTGCCAGCAAGTACAGAATTAGGGTGGTTGTGTGCTCAGCACCATGTGTACACAACAACAGCCGCCATTCACCACTACGTGTCGGTGAAGTCACCATTATGCTTGTGCCAGGCTAAGTGCACATTGAGGCCACGTGAAGTGTCTAAGGCTCGCTGGCAGGAGGTCATGGGACAGACCCAGGTGCCATGGGTTGACTAACGGAGATGACTAGCAAATGCACCACCTGTACTCCCTACTGTGCTAACTTGCTCCATTTTAGTCACCTGGCGCTCCGCTCATTGTTGTGAGCGTCGCTCCTCTGCCCTCCGCTGTTGTTGGAAGGTGACTGCCTTCAACTGCCCAGTAGCGTCCCTCACGAGCTTCCTCCTTAGAGGCCGATCTTGACACCGCTGGTACTAGTCTCTCGCAAGTCCACTCAGCTCCATATCCTCCTGTACCGTATCAGCCCATCTCCAGTGTACAAACACACACATAAGCATGCATAATATGATCACCTCTTCCCCAGTTGTGCTTCAGCTTAAGTGCAGTAGCCAGGACAGTATTGAATATGTTCACTGCTCAGCAACCCACATAATAAGCAAGTTTACTCTTGTAGAATTTTTTTTCATTTTGTTGGCAGATGTTATTTGGCAGTCGAACAGTATCAGAGTTTATAGAATTCTCCCTTCGTGCCCAAGGAATGTGATCTCTAAATTAACTTGCTGTGCAATTCTGCATGTGCTTGCAAAGACATAGATCTCCTGTTTATCCTTGTAAATTATCATTCCAAATGCTATCAGCCAACGCATATTCATTCGTGGCAATGACAGTTGATGTGAAACTACATTGTAATCCTGCCAAATCACATTCTACTCCTGGACATGCAAGAAAACAATGGCTATCGGTATCTGCTTTGACGTCGCCTAGACTGACTTAGCCTAAAATAAAAATAAAAATTTGGTTGCAATTTGCCAAAATAGCTACTCATTCATGGCCACAAATATACACTCAGAAGCCCATCATTTCAGTATACATGTGAAATTGTTGCCAGGTAATTGAGAGAATAGAATAGCTCTTGAAAATTGTTTTGCGAGATGCGCAAACACAAACATCCGGGACCAATTGTGCGGGCGCGTTCAATGATGACAACAGGTGGCTTTAGTGCTAGTTGCCTTTTGAGTTTGGTCGGTCGTAGCAGGGCATGGCTCTTTGACCAAAGATGAACAAAGCAGCCCTAATGAGTCAAGTCCCCTGCTCTGCAGCCTTCATATTAATGCCAAGCCATCTGTTAGCCTATTAGCGCGCTGCATGACTGCTGCTCAAGCACCGCCAGAAGTATGGTTTTAAAATATAAATCAACATTTCAAGGTCACCAGGGATGTGCACCGATGCTGATGACGCCTGGGAGCAGGACCCAGCATAGCTAATTTTCTCCATTCCAGACAATTTTAAATAAGAGAGTCATTATTTAATCAAAGTGGATTCTTGTTGCTATGCCTGCATTTAAACTGTGCATGTTAAGAATGTTTGATCAGCGATTCATGAAATTTGTGCAAATTGTTTATAAAATGTACCTTTAGCAAAATGGAACAAATGAGATAGTATAATAAGCAAGACAACATTCGATACAGAGTGCAAAATAAACATCATGAAGGAGATAGAATAATCGATTCGTAAATTAAATTATGACCGAGAATTGTGATGATTCATTGGCACGCTGGCGAGGGGTAGTAAGCTAATTGTTAAAGGCTTGCTGCATTTTTTACTCTATTCGCGTCCACATTGCCAAGCGTAGAGACTGTGGTGGTCTCAGCCTGCCCACCAAAAAGAGTACAAGGTGAATGTCTATGGTTGTTTTGGGAGTCATTCCTCATGGTATGTGGGAGCAGTGACGGTAGCGGTCTGTGCCTTGCCGTACAGTCCCAGTGACTCGAGTCCATACACAACCCCAATAGCGTTTCATGCCCGAACATGCCAACGTCTTTCCATTGGTTCACTCAGCCCACTCAGCCTCATCATTGATATTATAAGAATAAAGGTGGCCAGGTGTCAGCGGTGCAGGCCACACCACCCCTTCATGTGTTGTGCTCGCCTTCATGGGTGTACACTTATATTGTCGTAGAAGAATAAATAGGGGATTTCAAAATGTACTTTTATCCAAATGGAATGAATGAGTTCGAACAAGCAAGACAAATGTGGTGAGATGGCAACGGTGGTGCCACGGTGGAAAGATGTTAACTACCTTGCCTGGTAAACAGGAGGTCGTGGGTCCAATCCTGACCCTGACACCTGCTGCTGCTACTGTATATTTGAAGTTTGCATCTTCTTCCCATGTTCACTTGCATTTTTCTCCGGGTCCTGCCGTTTTTCTCTCCACATTTAGAATCAGCATGCGTTTCGAGTATTTGGCTGCTTTAAATTTCAACAAGATAAGCTACTACAGTGAGGGACAAAAGTATTTGATCCCCTGCTGATTTTGTACGTTTCCCCACTGACGAAGAAATGATCAGTCTATAATTTTAATGGTAGGTTTATTTGAACGGTGAGAGACAGAATAACAACAACAAAAATCCAGAAAAACGCATGTCAAAAATGTTATAAATTGATTTGCATTTTAATGAGGGAAATAAGTATTTGACCCCTCTGCAAAACATGACTTAGTACTTGGTGGCAAAACCTTTGTTGGCAATCACAGAGGTCAGACGTTTTTTGTAGTTGGCCACCAGGTTTTCACACATGTCAGGAGGGATTTTGTTCCACTCCTCTTTGCAGATCTTCTCCAAGTCATTAAGGTTTCGAGACTGACGTTTGGCAACTCGAACCTTCAGCTCCCTCCACAGATTTTCTATGGGATTAAGGTCTGGAGACTGGCTAGGCCACTCCAGGACCTTAATGTGCTTCTTCTTGAGCCACTCCTTTGTTGCCTTGGCCGTGTGTTTTGGGTCATTGTCATGCTGGAATACCCATCCACGACCCATTTTCAATGCCCTGGCTGAGGGAAGGAGGTTCTCACCCAAGATTTGACGGTACATGGCCCCGTCCATCGTCCCTTTGATGCGGTGAAGTTGTCCTGTCCCCTTAGCAGAAAAACACCCCCAAAGCATAATGTTTCCACCTCCATGTTTGACGGTGGGGATGGTGTTCTTGGGGTCATAGGCAGCATTCCTCCTCCTCCAAACACGGCGAGTTGAGTTGATGCCAAAGAGCTCCATTTTGGTCTCATCTGACCACAACACTTTCACCCAGTTGTCCTCTGAATCATTCAGATGTTCATTGGCAAACTTCAGACGGGCATGTATATGTGCTTTCTTGAGCAGGGGGACCTTGCGGGCGCTGCAGGATTTCAGTCCTTCACGGCGTAGTGTGTTAAAAATTGTTTTCTTGGTGACTATGGTCCCAGCTGCCTTGAGATCATTGACAAGATCCTCCCGTGTAGTTCTGGGCTGATTCCTCACCGTTCTCGTGATCATTGCACCTCCACGAGGTGAGATCTTGCATGGAGCCTCAGGCCGAGGGAGATTGACAGTTCTTTTGTGTTTCTTCCATTTGCGAATAATCGCACCAACTGTTGTTACCTTCTCACCAAGCTGCTTGGCAATGGTCTTGTAGCCCATTCCAGCCTTGTGTAGGTCTACAATCTTGTCTCTGACATCCTTGGAGAGCTCTTTGGTCTTGGCCATGGTGGAGAGTTTGGAATCTGATTGATTGCTTCTGTGGACAGGTGTCTTTTATACAGGTAACAAGCTGAGATTAGGAGCACTCCCTTTAAGAGTGTGCTCCTAATTAATCTCAGCTCGTTACCTGTATAAAAGACACCTGGGAGCCAGAAATCTTTCTGATTGAGAGGGGGTCCAATACTTATTTCCCTCATTAAAATGCAAATCAATTTATAGCATTTTTGACATGCGTTTTTCTGGATTTTCTTATTGTTATTCTGTCTTTCAATGTTCAAATAAACCTACCATTAAAATTGTAGACTGATCATTTCTTTGTCAGTGGGCAAACGTACAAAATCAGCAGGAGATCAAATACTTTTTTCCCTCACTGTATGTTGAGCTATAATTTGTGGCCAGGTCACTTCTCAAAAAGAGCAAAAAAGCTGAGTGGGCCTTACCTGATAAAAAAATAACTTAGCGTTTATAGTTTTTTTATTCCTAATTCTGTTCTTCTGCAATTTTTAAATACATCGTTTATGTTACTGTGCACCTGTGCCTGTCTGCGTGTCTCTTTGCACGTGTCTCTTTTTGCATACTCGTTTGTGCGCAAGTCTGCGTGTGTTGTCCTGTCTCTGGCGATCCGTGGCCCATGTCTGTGTGTGCGCCTAACTCTGTGTTCCTGTGTGCGTGTCTGCGGATCCGTGGCCTGTGTCTGCGCTCCCTCGTTCGCGTATTCGTATTGTCCGTGCGCCTGCGTCTACACGTGTGTACGCGTGCCTGCGTGTCTACGTGCACACGATAGCATGCGCTCACTCCCCCTCTCTCTCTCTCTCTCATCAGGCCACAGCGCAGATGGAGGAGCGCCTGCAGGTGCTGGTGGCAGTGAACGACCCCGAGGACACGCTACCGCTTGCGGACGGCGTGCTCAGCTTCATCCACCACCAGCTCATCGAGCTGGCGCGTGACTGCCTCGCCAAGTCGCGCACCGGACAGATCACGTCGCGCTACTTCTACGAGCTGCAGGAGAACCTGGAGAAGTTGCTTAATGACGTGAGTGGCTCGTAGCGCTGGCAGCTTGCTGGGCCATCACACGTGATGTACGTGCGCGGAGGGTAGAGAGCGTTGGTGAGGTGCGGTGGCATCAACGAATTTTACCTTGATGCCATCACGAGCTTTGATACCGCACATGTAGCACCACGGGCGCTGTATGTGCGGTATCAAAAACACATAAATAACTTTCTGTACGCAGCAATGCGCGCGCATAAACTGCCCACTCACAAAGTAGCCTTATACACAACGCCACAAACACTCGTACGTTTATGTACGTGCAGCATTGCTTACACAGTAATGGATACACACATGGGCTACACACTTAGTGTTTCCTGTATGCACAGGACGAAATGCACATGTTCGCACATACAGTGATATCCTGCACTCACCGCATGTACAGCACAAATTTGGTCGAATTCTGAACGCTGTTTACATCTCTTGGGTGGATGTGGCAACTCTAGTCCTTGTACTTGAAATTTAATGCAAGCAGTCAGGTTCATAGATGATCCAGCACCCACTGATTTGGTCTGCGAAATTAGCTCATTGATTCCTCCACCCATATTGAGGATTTGGTTTCATCTCTTCTATACTGTGGTTAAACCACCTTATTGCAGGTCACAACACTCTGATTTGTACTTCTTTCCTTTGAAATTCCCTTCTATCGTCTATTTTCCCAAGCTTGTATAGCCTTGCTGAATTAAAGTAATGTGTTAACTATTACAACTTTGATTGTTCCGTTTGTTGCTGGCATCTTGAATTTTTGGGCCTTTGGGAACTGTGCTCAGCACTTGTGTTAAAAAGAAAATGCAGCATTATAACGCCGTGTTCCACCACGCACATGCAGCACTGCGTTCACCACACAGCGGACGGTGCACCACACCTCATCCACAGCACTGCAGAAGGTGCACCGCACACAGAGCAACAACAACGTCGAGCATAATACACCACACATGCAAGGTATCACGCGCTGTGCACCGCTGGCACGACCACAGTGCGGCGTGGGCATCGTGTTGACTGCACGCACAGTAGCGCTGGACATGTTCACCACTTACACAGCACACAGCGTCTCTCCCCGCTGCACACAGCTCCGCACGCTCAGTGTTTATTGCACTGGCCATAATTCTGACACGCCACACATACCCCTCATCTAGCCAAGTGCTGTTAGCGAGCACCTATTAAGGCCAATACAACACACAAATCGGTGTTATGGTCAGCACCCTGGCCAGCGGCATTTATCTCCAAGCGCTTTGTCTACACACAGCTGAGTCGACCTAGGGGGAGGCCCAGGACCGACACGACTGATGTTACTGGTGACCAGGAATCGAGCTGAAGTTGCTGGGTTCATGGCACAGTGCACTACGCACCACTGCACCACCGTCTCACCGTACCTATATGCACACACGTGTAGCGCTGTCATGCATGAACAGTGTACATCACAGATCTGAAACACGGTAGGACCAATACCTCAGCCGTGGCTGATCATTGTTTTAATGTGGTGGGCTTACGTGAAATTGATTTCTCTAAGACGAAGGTACTTTGCAAACCCACTGGCTATCAACAAAGATTCGTTCATGAAGCCATCCATTTTTTAGACACAGGCACAATTTCAACCAAGAAGATGGATACAAACTCAGCAATCACTGAAAGGACGTTATCAACCAGTTTAAGTAATAACTGGCTGTAATGTTTCCATTTTAGACCTAGCAGCCCTTTAATTGGTGCAAGCCCACCACCAGGACCATCACTGCCCACTACAACCATCACTACTAGCAGTAGCCCTTTATTAGTGGCAGCTCACCACAAGTGCCGTCATAGCCCTCTACGAGTACCATCACCTCTAGCAGCAACCTCCACCGTCAACAGTGCGAGTGTGTAAAGTAAGGTGCAATGATTACTTGGCAGCCCTAAAATTGATGGAAACCCACCACCAGCACCGTCGTCGCCCTCTACGAGTACCATCACCTCTTACACCGCCCTACATCACCTCTTACACCGCCCTACATCACCTTCGAGCACCCCCCTACATCACCTTCGAGCACCCCCCTACATGCTGGGGCACACCGTTTTTAATCCCTTACATTAACATTAGCTGCCCCGTCCATGCTGCTGACACTTGGGCTACGCACCCATTTCCAACCGGTATAAACAGTTTGCCTTTAGAGGCTATAACCCCTTTTCCTGATGACCACTGCTTGTGTTGCTATCGAAACGTCGTAGTTTTTTGTTATTTTCTTTGAACCTATCTACGTGGCTTTACCGAAAGACCTAAGAATAAAGTGTACATCACCACACATACTATGCACATACAGGCGCACTTACTGCTTCGTAGCATAGCACAAACTCTCGAGCTCTTAATTTTTCGATTATATTTGCATCTCTTTTTATTGCTCATGAATCAGCATTGGAGGTGTTAAAATAATTTTTAATTTCTTACTGTTAACTGAACATTTGTGATCTGAATCATATACAAATTAATAACTTGAAAATATTACGTTCAGTATATGGTTACAATTAGGAAAATCTAATTTACAAATAAAGGATTTTGAAAGGATTCTGAAACCTTAAACCGTTACAGTATTTTAACATTGATTTAAAATCATTGAGTATAATAATAATAATTGTTACCTATTCATGTGGATCTATCCCAGCCTCAGTAGCCATGGGGGCATGTAGTGGAAAGTGAACAGATATCGTCAGATGGTGTGACTCACACCTGCCAAAGGAATGTGCAATTTCCGCTCCTAGCACAGGGTTATGAAAAGAAGATGAGCATTTGACCCTGGCTTGTTTGAGTGGGAAGCCAATTTGATTTGACAGCAGCAGAACTTTAGCTAATTTGTGATTATTTGTCAACCCACTGCTGAATGAAGGCCTCCCCTTGCCTTGTCAGTCATGGGGATTGTCCATACATCTAAGATAAACCAAAACATTTTTTTATTTGACTAAGTAAAGATCACTGAGCTATATAGCTCATTTTCAGAAGCGACCATGCCACATATGATGATCGCTCAACGAAGTGCCTTTCTCATCATGTGGAGATGTATAGCAGCCAAATAGTTTAAACGCATGTTTCTAAATGTGGAGGGAAAAACCTGAGGACCCGGAACAAATATCCACGCGACCACGGGGAGAACACGCAAACTCCAAAATATACAGGTGTCAGGGTCAGGATCGAGCCCACGATCTTCTGTACCCCAGGCGAGGTAGTTAACATCTCACCACCATGGCACCACTGTTGCCATTTCAGTCATGGGGGTTGTTTGTCCATATTTCACCACGCTGGTCAGTGCGTGTTGGTGAAGGGCGGGGTGGCAGAATCGGTTCAGATATCGTTCGCCACTGATGTTATCCGTGGTTATGATTGAAACTCGAAATGCCAAGGTTTGTAGGGCAGTGGCTTAACCACTGCGCCACCGTTCATCCACCATAAATAGGAATGACCATGTGCACCGTCATCAATTTGTAATTATGCCATTATGCTGATGCATATTGAATACCAATTGGAGCAAAATTGGTGGCAAATGCACCTGCAAAAACATTTCTATTAAAGACTCTATGACAATATCATTAGGTGTGTGCGTCATAGCCCAATTAAAAATGTGAATGCAAAAGAGATAATAAATTTTGTGCATTTTACACCTCGTTAAATAATTGATGATATGTAAATAAAATGTTACTTTTGGAGTTGGAAAAAACATTGTCTGTATTTGGTCTGCAAATACAGACCAAATACAGACAATTTGTCTTTAATCGTAAAAATGAGCAAGTCATATGTTCACGTGGCGGAGAGCGCAATGCACTTAGGAGGGCTCTTGCGTTTCTCATGAGGGGCTCGTGCAGGGAACCTTATTTACTCAACCAAATTGGCTGTCTGACCCCGTTAACATCAATTTGAAGCTAATTTAAAGTTCCATATACGGTGACCACTTGCCGTTGCGAGCGAAATTCCTAATCCCGAGGCTTAAGAACACCGCAGGATGGTATCTCACAATGGAGCGGTCGTCGCTGTTGACCCACACTTGCAGCAAATAGCACAGCCAGACGTAAATAACAGCCGTAGCAAATCCTTTATTCTGTCGCATGCCGTGTGTGTGCGTCTCTTTCTCCTTTGCGTGCCCTCGCTCTCTTCGTCCCTCCATCTGTTTTTACGTGGTTAGCTAAGAGAGTCGCCTCAATTTGACGATAGCTCGCGAGAAAGAGGGGAGGTGAATACATCTTCTCGCGCAGTCGACCTGAGTGTCGGTCGCTACTGGGCAGGGAAAAGAAGCGGACAGCGCCAGATTCCAAATTTGAGAGGCGTCGCGCTCCGTTAGGCGCATCGATTAACGTCCGGAATGAAAGATGCGAGCGCCCGCTCCCCCGTTCGCTCATTCGCTCGCTCACTTGCTCGCTCGCTCCTGCTTCACCGTTAGGATGATCTCATCTTGCGGTGACATCACCGGTGGTGTGCGTTAGGTCACCCGCTTTTTTACATCAACGCATTACGTCTTCTTTTCCCTCCAATGGAACGGCTCGGTCCCATGGCCGCCGTTTCGCGGGTGGGGGATTCGGGTGGTGGGGTTTCCGCGCCGCCTGTACCTCGAACTCCCCCTTTTGCGCACGTGAGACGCGCACCTTGCTACGGCGAGAGCGCCAGCCAGGCACCGCCGTCGCCAGGTGCCATGGTGTAGGAGCGAATTTGCACAATGCCGGGTCTCGGGGGCCTGCTCCTCAAGTGCGTCTTCGTGCGCCTAAAGTCGAAACGGCGCCGCGTAGGCTGGAGGAGGCATGTGGGTGAAGTTTGGAACTGGGTACGTAGCGCCGCGCTTTTTTTCCCGTTACGGGGATAAATCAACACCGAAAGTAGAACGAGTCGCAAGGCGAACCGTCTTAATTGTCAAATGTATTCTTCATCAGAATATATACATTTTTAAATACGGCAAAGTTTAATTGCGTTCGGTGTGCGTGCAATCTGTCAACCTATGTGCGTGCGGTAATGACAGAAAAATGGGATTTGCATTTGACTCTGTGACATTGAATCGTTTAGAACGGTTTTTGTTGAAGTGCTCTTTTTTTCAGAACCGTGGCTAATCTGTGTATTGTTATCGCTGACACAACTCGGGGATGGTTGCGTTTGTCTGTGCGTGTCTGCGTGTTTCCATGCATATATGTGTGTGTGTGTGTGTTGAACTTCTTTCGCACCGTACGTAGCCAACCGTGCTAATCAGAGAGGTGTCTGTTTATCCATGCCTCAACGTGCTATCATCACAGTTGGGTTCGATTCCAGGCCATGTACATGTGAAAATCGTTATGCAGACCTTCACTAGGTCAGCGAAGCCTAATCTGAATACCTGGCGTGTGGTGTACAAGGTATCTACTACAGAGGCAGAGGGGGGCGGGCATGCGGGGTGCTGGCTGTGCCACTGCCGCACATGCCACGCTAATCTTACTAGGTGCTCGCTCCGATATCTAAAGAGGGGGATCGTTGTGCGCATGGATTCGCAGGCTCAGGATCGCTCTGAGAGCAACGAGGTGGCGTTCATCACGCAGCTTGCCAAGCGTCTGCTCATCGTCATCTCCCGGCCGGCGCGGCTGCTCGAGTGCCTGGTACGGCGACGTTCGCTTCGCTGCGTCTCTCCCGAGAGAGGCACAATCGCGGGCGCAGACCTTGCACGCATGCACACACGCACGCGCGCACACCCACATAAATGCCTCCGCTACTTGTGACCCTGCTTTCTCTGAGCGCTCCTCGAACACGATGCACATTCTCCCTCCGGCCCACAAAACAACACCGCCGCTTTAGTGCTCGCAGACCGGAGCGATTGAAGAAAGACTGCACCTTTAAACGGCGCTATTTATTCTAAATACTTCATTATTATTACTGCATGTGACTCGGGCTGTCCCACATGGATTTGAAGCTTTGATGATGATAAAAAAAAAACAACTTTTTGTTGAAGTTGTATTTAGATTTTTCAGTAACATGGTCAAAAGACCCGAGCAATACAGCATTGTAAGTTATAAAGCGCAGGGAGGACATGTTTATCTGTAACTCTTGGCCACAATGCAGCAAAATTGAGGTGGAGCTGAAGAGGTGAGCAAGAGAAGGGGAAAGGAAAAAATAGTAATCGCAGTTCAGCGTGTCACTGTCACACACCGGTAATGTCGTTGCGACCTCACTCCTGTGCGATATCAATGCAGTGATATGATTAGAGCACTGCAGTGCTCTTCCTGAAAGTCATTTTAAAGTTCATTTTTTTATCAGAGAAGCTTAATACTTTTGTCGAACAACCTAGAACACACAGTTAGGTATTTCTTATTGACGAGATAAGAAATATTTGTTTGTGGGCATCTTTCTGTAATGAAGATGGTGTCCCCTTGCTCACAGCAGTGTGTGATGAGTTCAGTGTCCACGTTGATCTGCCTGGTGAGAGTCCGCTTTGTTCACCGTGATTGCCTAAGGATTTCAGGATTTACTTTAAAATGTTTCGTTCGGTGTGTGGCATGATAGCTTTCCCTTGTAAATGATACACCAGTTCAGTAAATTACATTTCATAACTTATTTGGTAATGTCCCACCGAAGTTGTTAGCTCCAGGAATTTAACTGTGAACTTACTGCAAATTCCCACTAGGCTGCGTATCTGTGCGGTTGCCTAGCGCAAGTGTGAAGCTTCATTAATGAGAAGAAAAGCACGATATAGTTATGTAATTTGGTGGGCCACCTGCTTAAATCCAATTGCTCGGCCGTTTTGCCTGCAGTGCCCGTGGTGATTTAATGCAGGTCAAATATACGCAAAGTAATCCAGTGCTGTGGAGGCTTGCGGGGGTTGGTGGATCGCACGTATAAAAAAAAAAAATACTTTTTATTTTATCAGGTAAGGCCCACTGAGCTATCTAGCTCTTATTCAGAAGCGACCTGACCACAAATGATAGCCCAATAAAGTGGCTTATTGCGTGCACATTTATAGCAGTCAAATACATGAGACGCCTGTTTCTATGTTGCGAAACTCCCTTCCCTTGAACATCAAGGTGCCATACCCTGGCTTTTTCCAGGAGATTTCGATACAGCAAAGTGTGGACTAATATCAACTGTCCCTTCCGTATGGGATAGAGTGTTTCCCAATCGCATGAGGGGGTTTTGTCTGGGTGTTCCGGTTTCCTGCCACACGTAGAAACACTGTTAATTGGCTGAAAACATCTTAAACAAATTGAGAACCGCAGAGCTTGGGCAGTTGTTGCCTGTGGTTCGTCAGCAATTGTGTGATGCAATTTTCACGAACAATGCTATAAAAAAACACTACTTCGAGTGACAAATAATTGAAAAAAATTATTGCTTTTATGGTGTCATTCAATTCATTTGCTGCACACTTTAAATATTATTCGTTTTACAACAAACATTTAATTGTGTTTATTTAACAAAATTGAATGTTGACATTGACCTTGATCAAATCAGATAAACGTAATTGCGTGCTGGCTTTAAAAGTAGAGTTTTCAGTGTGGCCTGTGTTTTACCCTTCGGGTGATTGAGATTTGTATCTCTGGCCAGGCCTGCCTGGGTGCACTCGACACAGGGATAACCCAAAAAGCTCTGTAGAAATCCTCGGAAGTGTGCATCGCCTTTGGTATTGTGTCGTATGGTACAGTTGTGAAAGAACCAGCACGTGGTACTGTAAGAAGCCAGTTTCAGTTCCCTGTTATAAAAGACACGCTGTCACACAGAGACATGTGTATGCAGTAAGCACCTTGCATTTAATCAAATAACATGTATTCTTACGCTCACTGTACCAGCGTTGAATTGGTGGTTGAAGAATTAATTGCGTGCGATTTATGAAAAATGTAATGCTGACGCACCTTGACGCTAATGGAACAAAGAAGACAGACTAACACGACAAAACAAATTACATGGACACTACAAATAAGACCATACAAGACAATAAATGATTATCAAATCAAATTGTGACACTGAATCATGAGAACTCATTCACTCTGCAAGGGGGTCGTCACTTATTGCATGCTTAATACATGTGTAGTGTGTTCAAGAAGAGAGCGAGATGTCTCTGGGAGGCAACACTTTTTATGTAACATTAAGCAACATAACACAAAGGGGTAACGGCCCCTTCCACCCGATACTCTAGGGAGGCGTCTCCTCTGGGCTAACGTGCCCTTCACTCTGGTTAAAGCTCTAACCCTACACTCAATATGCACTATTTTGAAGCCATGGAAATCGCATTTTTTTCTCCATGTTTGTGGCTTGAGAAACTCACTTCCAGAATCCTTAGAGACGTATGTTTCGTTCTTCTTAAGAATATCACATTTTATTGATTTATATTTTTTGGAACAATTTGGAGGGACAGTTTGGTTGAGAGCCTTAGGTTCGGGTTGCCGCTAGTATTAACATCGCGGTGAGTGAACATTTGCATAAAAAAATATATTGCACCGAAAATTTAAACAAATTCAACTGTTTGAGGCCTTTAAAAGCAAAGCCAGTGCTCTCTCGTTGCACATTATCTTCTTCTGCTGTCAGTAAAATGTGGCATTAGCTGGGGTTTATGGCATCAAATGTAATCTGAAATGCGTTATTGGGACGGGGATTAGTTTAGGGCCTCATTGGAGATGCTTTTGGGGAGAATATTTGGTATTTGTAGGACGCGTGGCAACTTTTGACAGTCTCCTCCATCTCCCATAAGTCAGGCCGGAGGATTTTCAGATATTTTTTGCCAATTTCTTACTGATTATTATTGGGTTTATTAAGTTGAAAGTATGACAATGAATCGTATATATGTATCAATTAATCACTTTATATATGAAAAAAACACATATGAATTAATAATGCATTCATATTGCTTTTCACTTCCATAAAATATATATCAACTCTGTCGTTTTGGCTGTGGATCACGAACAAATTAATCTCTATTTTAAACCTTCGAGACAGCACCCTTTACAAGGGGGCTGCACAGTCAGACTCAGAATCAGAATATATATACTGGAGGAATCCGATGAGTTATCGGTATAGTTTGTTGTCCTTCCCCCACACCTCCGATTAGCACGGTTGGCTACTTACCGTGCAAAATAATACAACATACATTCATTTTCACAGATGTCCAGTCAGCAATTGCTGCGAGAATAACAGAATAAGAGTGCGATGATGATGGCGGCAGTAACGATTTTGGATGAGATGTTTGGTGGGTCCTGCTGAACCGCCTTATGCCTGGTGCCCTGCCAGGAGTTCGACCCAGAAGAGTTCTACCACCTCCTGGAGGCAGCTGAAGGCCATGCCAAGGAAGATCAGGGAATCAAGTCGGACATCCCGCGCTACATCATCAGTCAGCTGGGCCTCACGAGGGACCCGCTGGAAGGTTGGTGACTGCGCACGTTCCCCTGCACTGTTGCATTTGAAATGCAACCCACAGCAACAATAAGCGCTCACTCGTGTATGTTGCCACAATTAAAGTTGTTCTCGTGATGAAGCCAGGGGACCTTTAACTACCGCACTCGTTTCATCCCCTGAATGCGGCAGTTAAAATAATGGGGCAAGTTTCTTAAATCCGCCCACCCCTGTCCACCCAGCAGTATGGACTACATTTCGCAGGGCGTGTGTGATGGAGTAAAGAGGAGATCAAAATATTTTGCAGAGGGGCTCGAGAACTTCCTCTAGTGGAGCACCTTCCACCAGCAGTGCATGAGCAAGTACTTGCAGGGTAGCACCTTTACCTTTAGCCACTTTACTTAATATCTCCCTGTCCCCGTGCTGTTATCGATGTCTTGCAGAAATGGCTCAGCTGAGCAGCTGTGACAGTGGGAACCCAGAGACCCCCGAGACCGACGATGCAACAGACGTGAGGGCTCCACTGTGCAATGTTTCCCACACGTGTGAAGCATGCAGCATGTGCACACACACACACACACCTCGCCCTGCACACATATGTCTAAGTTAGTCCCGTGCGATATCATCATCGTCATCTGCAACCATAGTCTATCCACTGCTCGATGAAAGTCACCGTAATTCGTCACCATCGCTCACCCTCCCGCAATGAATCAATCAATTTATTGCCTGCGCATGAGTTGATTTCATCGCTGCATCTCCACGTTAAATGTCCTCTTGTGCATGCTCTCTTCTTTAGCTACCACACCGCTCTCCTAGCGATGTCTCCTGCTTTCCAGCGAAGTCCCCTGCCCAAGCCCACTTATTTTTCCCAGACAGTCAACACGATGTCTCTGACTTGAGTATGCTCTCTAATCAATGGGTTTCTCTTCATCTACTCGTGCATTTTTGCACACTTTTCAGCGATTGTTCGATTTTATTTGCATTTATTGAAACAAATTAAACTTTCTGGATGTAAGAACCTTTTTTTTTTACTTTGAGTTATTGTGTCTGTCCCTCTTTAAACTTTTTACCTGGATTCTCAGACTGCTGGTTTACTTTGGTACCAAGTTTACTACCTTATTGTGTATCTGTGGGATGTACAACTCTATCACTGAAATCAAACACCTGGGAAATACTGGCCTATCACTGGGACATGGCAGTTAGTAACCGCTGTTTATTCACACCATTGTTTTGCTACGTTGTCACGGTTTCCGCGCACGACAATGTAATGTTGGTACAATCAGTGTAAATGCACTCGCCGCTTACCTTGTTAATTTTGCACAGTCACGAGCGGCAGAGAGCCTGCCCAAGAAAAAGCCGTGTGAAGAGGATTTTGAGACGATTAAGCTCATCAGCAATGGTGCCTACGGGTAAGAGAGACGGAGAAATATTACAAAGTCGAAGCTGCACCCAACTTTGAAGTTGTAAAACACTGCTCCGAACTGTTTAACTTTTATAATATATTTTTTTTGTTAACGTGCAGATAAAGCGTAATATATTTGACTGGGTAAAGCTGCCTTCCGGGGTGGCTCTGCGTTAGAAGCAGCAGCTCACAATCGGAAGGTTTCCGAGTTCAAATCCTGGTTGGGCGAATGACTGGGCCCATTATCCCATTGTTGACTTTGTGAGGAAGTCAACAGTCGTTGTTCTCGTGATACTGTCCCCACCATAGGAATGCAGAATTTGTACTGCAGACTCGGGGCTATAAGCAGGCCATGGGCATTGCCTCAATGCTCATCTGAGAAGAAAACGAATTGAGTTTTTTCGTAGAGGTGCACAGATTAATACTGTAGTGACTTGGTGCCCACTTGCTTTGCAATTTGCCCCTGCATTTGTGAGCCGTTTGCACATGATCGAATGCAATTGCAAGTTTTGCTGCCTGAAATGTGATGCTGCACAGGGCTCCGAGGTGTTACGTTAGCTGACATGGGCTGTGCATGCTGTCATGTGGCTGCGTGTCGTTGCACATAGCTGCATGGACATGTACAGCCCTCTGTTAATTCCACCACTTTATCAAAGCTTCCCCATATCCTGTCAGTTTGTCACGGTTTTTTAAGCCATACTTTACACCGGTCAGTGCGGTTTGGTTAAGGCTGGTAGCATATACGTGTGGGAACATAGAGGGTTTTGTACTACAGTACATTTTCCTGCACTGTCCTCTTCTTCCTACTGCATAGCCTAAGTAGGGGTGAGCTTGGATAATGCTTGGAGGGGTGACCATCATGCATAACAGGTGTTTTGAGCTGTGAGGCCATGTAGCTGCACGTTGGCATCTGGTGGCAAATAGCCACACATGGCGGGGTGTAATTGCATATGGCTGCGTATGGCTGCGTTTACACAGTTGCATATGGTGGTCTGTACATGCATGTGTTCACTCTTGGCCGTGGTCGTTGGCGTTTGCGCATAGTAACTGATCATTTCAAATCTTTGCTCGTGGTTGTGGTTAATTGCACGTTGAGCATCGTTCTAAATGGCTGCATGCGTTGGTTCTTGCGCGTGGCCGTTGCTCCACTTCGATTCCACGATGTTGCTCGTGGTCTTGCGCTGGTCACGGGGATGGCACAGTTAAATCAGCTCGTGCGCCAATTGCTCGACGGATCGTTATGTACCAGGACCAAGAGAGGCGGCGACGGCTCTGGGAAGCCTTTGTCCCAGCAGTGGATTGATGGTGGCTGTGGTACCCCTTCCCCCTCTAGCGCGGTGTACTTGGTGCGGCACAAGGAGACTCGTCAGCGATTTGCGATGAAGAAGATCAACAAGCAGAACCTGATCCTGCGCAACCAGATCCAGCAGGCCTTCGTGGAGCGCGACATCCTCACCTTTGCTGAGAATCCTTTTGTGGTGGGCATGTTCTGCTCCTTCGAGACAAAGCGCCACCTCTGCATGGTCATGGAGTACGTGGAAGGTCAGTGATCGCTTCCTTTTTTTTAACTGGTTCACTATTTTTCCACATGAGTGCTACCATCCATAGTAGTCTCCCTTATCCTCTGCAACATTTAGCGTATTCCCACAATGCCACGGAACGAGTGCTATTATCGACACGGTAACGGATAAAACTGAAAATCACATTCGCATCCATCAACGACCCATGTGTTTGCAGGTGTTTGTCCGGGAAGCCTTTCTTAAATCTCGCTTGAGTGCACTAATGCTCGGTTTTGATAACCTCCAAAATACGTGTTAAGCTTTGATAAGCTTTAAACGGCGGCAGTGTCGGGTCAAAACAGGATCTACTGTGTAGGCTTTCGCAGTTGCGATGTGCGGCTCTCCGATGCGTGTTCTGGTTGTACTGTGCGTTGTTCGGCACAGTGTCCAACTGGAAGTTTCTTCAGAAAAACCGGATTCTGTTCGTGTGTTTGTCACCTCGTACTGCGATCTGAAAGCTATCGTAAAAAACGCTAACGTGTGCTCTGTCTCCGTGTGCTGTATGTGCCCTTGTGTGCTCTGTGTGTCCCCATGTGCTCCGTGCGTTCTCGTGTGCTGTGTGGTCCCGCGTGCTCTGCGTGGCCCCATTTCCTCTACACGCTCTGTGTCGCTCTGTGCCGCATGTGCAGGGGGAGACTGTGCGACGCTGCTGAAGAACCTGGGCGCTCTCCCTGTGGACATGGCACAGCTCTACTTCGCCGAGACGGTGCTCGCGCTCGAGTACCTGCACAACTACGGCATCGTGCACCGTGACCTCAAGCCGGACAAGTACGCTGCACCAAGTGCACGCGGTGCACGCACAACGAAGAGTACACACGGATGCAGGAGGACACACGACATGCAGTATAAGCGGCGCCCATCCAGAAATTCCGCGATCCACTCGAACATTCTCTATTGCAACGGAACTGTTGCAGATACTACGATTTAGGGTTGTGTTTGTTTTATTGACTCACGGCGATCCTCCGGAATGTTTCTGAGGGTTGATGGTGGTGTGGGACCGCTGCTGTGTACATGACGTAGAACATATACAGCGTGCAATGCACAGCACACCCAGCACAAAGCAGACTCAACACACGCAATATGCGATGCACGTGCAGCATGTGCAGAGGCAACACGTTTATGCTACCACTCCAACAGGGTAACTGCACAAACGTACGGGATCACGATGTAGGTGGTGACTACCACGAGTAACTCAGACTACAACGGGGTAACTACATAACCGGGTTGATTCCAGAAGAGAGCCGCGATTGCTCTTGGGACCTCCCCTTTATGCTCCCGAGCGTGGCCTCGCTCCGCCTTTGTGCCACGTCCCCTTCTGGATCTTTCTATAAGGTTCTCGACTGAGCCACCCTTTGGGTCCCCTCGCTACCCTGTCCTGGTCACGTGCCCTCTCGGGTTCACCCAGACTGTCACGTCCTCACTTGCCCTCTCTCTGACCGTCACCAGAACCATGCCCCCTAGGGCTCGCTTGCATGCCACACCCACTCTGGTGCCAGAGAGAGGCTCAATACGCACAGTTCCACTCTTGTTACAGTAGCTGGCGCTGAATGGCATCGTGACTCCATTTACGTCACTACACATGCAAAACGTGGCGCACAAATGTATTTCCGTTACACACAGCACACGCAGCATGCAATACACAGCTTATGCACATGCGGGTGAAACCATCTAGAGATAGGAGCTCATTTACCAGGTATTTTTTTATTCACCGTGTACAGTGAACTCCACACGCACAGAGCGTGAATTGCACACAAATGTAACTAAAGCGAGTGCATTGCACTTGTCCGTCCGCCACTTAACCGCCGCCCCCCCCCCTCCTCACCCTCAGCCTGCTCATCACATCCATGGGTCACGTGAAGCTGACGGACTTCGGACTCTCCAAGATCGGACTCATGAGCCTCACCACGAACCTGTACGAGGAGCACATCGAGAAGGATACGCGCGAGTTCCTCGACAAACAGGCGAGTGGGGAGTGGGGAATGGGGGAGAGGTGAGGTGGAGATCGACGAGGAGGAGATGGACGAGGTGGAGATGGACGAGGAGGAGATGGACGAGGAGGAGATGGACGAGGTGGAGATGGGGGCCACGAGCACACAGGATATAGGGCCAGCTAGCCGAGTAGCTTAGAGGAGGCCACTCCTGTGGCATGAGCTCTGAGCTGCCACCGCTGAGTGTTTTAGGTTTGAATTCAAGCACCTGCCTGTGATTAAGCCTGGTTCTCAACAAGTGTGGCGAGTCAATGGTCTAATCCCAAGCATCAATGATTAAACAAAAACATCATATTGAAATGTATATTTTAGCCGATTTCAGCTTTCATGACTGAATTTTCTGCTTAATGTTTAGTAGAAAATGCCCCATGTAGTGTGGCATTGCCTTCTACAGGAGCTCCCCAGAGCAAGCAGTTTTGTCCATGTGTAGTGTGTTTATGGAAGGCGGAGACGAATCCTTTAGAGGCAACGCGTTTATTCAATAACGCTAATGGTACAGCACAGTCTTTAACAAGGGCAACAGCCCTTTCTGACTACCGCCTGGGGAGGTACGGCCTCCGGACTAGTGTGCCCTGTCACGGGGCTACTGACTCTCAGTCCTCCGGCTATGAGTGACCTAGGGGAGGCTACACTGACCCGACCCAGCCAAGGTATGGGTCCCGACCACTGACCTACTCGGACCCGGCCCTTACAAGGACGTCGGGCCGGAGGTTCCCAGGGTCTCACCACTGGCTCACAGAGCCCCGGCCCTTACAGGGGCAGCGGGGCTAGGGGTCCCAGGGTTCTAAGCTAGCTGGTCTTCTGGCTTCGGTCTTGGACTTGGCCCCGGACCCTTCCAGAGGTCCGGCTTTTATACACCTCCCAGGTGTGTCAGCCCCTGGCCACGCCTTCCTTCCAAAGAGTTCCAGGGGGAGTCCCGGGGGATCCTAGGACACCCCGCAGCCCCCTCTTATTGGAAGGGGTCCGGGGGATCCCAGAACACCCCGCAGCCCCCTCCAGCTTTTGGGCTGGGGAATGTAGCGACCCACATGCCGGTGGAAGTTACTGCCCCTGATGGGATGTGTCTGCTACTGCAGGTAAGTGCACACGGCCCATTTACAGTGCTACACGTGTTGTGTAGTAACTCTTGACGCCAAGCAGGATTGTAGAACCACACTGAGACGGAACTTCAGGTAAGAGCTTACGCCGGTTAAACTCTACACTCGACGCCTACACCCGTTATGGTGCGCGTCAGAACTCTGGCCTGCACGTGGAACTCCTTCCAATTATCTACGCCCCGGTACGGCTTCCCTTGCTTACTTCCTTGCATGCCCTGGGCGGGGGCTCACCCATCACCGCCCGGCGACAAGGTGAGGCCTCTACCCCTCTAGCCATTCTTTGACGGCGGCTGGGGTGTTCCCACGCACGCTCTCGTTCCTCTTCCCATGGCGGCCACTTCACTCTCCCTTACGGCGACTTCGCCCTCGTCCCGGGGGGGGTCCCCCTTAAGTACCCCGCCGCCTTGATGACATGACGTCATCACATCACGTCATCCCGCTCCACTACAGATGACATGACGTCATCCCACTACTCTACACATGTTCATCATGTTCGGACTTACTCTGGAAATGCCAATTTATAATGGAAGTGATTGGAAGGTTGGCTTACTGTGCTTTGCCACCAGTACTACTTGCTCCTCCTTTTCTTGGAAAAGTGTGGTCTGTTCAAATATTGTTTTTCATTTATGATGTTCTCAGCGCCACTGTTGACTGGAGGTGGAACAGTAGCACATTACCGTACTGCGTTATGAACCCAATAACCTGAAAAAAATTCTGATTATGGCTAACGTCGGCAGAGTGATATCAGGACCAGTTCTCTCACCCCCTCCTTTACTTACCCACACTAACCAGCGTGGTTAAGTTAAAATAACCCCCCCCGCTGAACTGACAGGGCATAGGGAGGCCTGGATCCAGCAGTCGTTTAACTAAAGGCTGTAGGTTGTGAACCTTTACGTAATCTCCAGATAATGAGGCACTTTTCCATTTATTTGAAAGGAAAAAGGTTGTGGGTGGACCTTCTAATGCATTCGGTATGCGTGTGTGCATGTCAGAGACCAGGTTTGTATAATTTTATTGATAACTGGGCACAAGTTTAAAGTACGTCTTACGTTTCCATAGAGCGTCTTATAATTAAGAGAACATGGTTGTAAGATAATATAAAATATATTACGCGATTTTATTATCTCTAAGCCATTTCCGGTTTGCGGCGGTGGGGTGACCGAATGGCTGGAGATGTCTCGGTGGGAAATAAACTGTCGGACGCGCGCTGTCAAGGGCAACGCGGACGCGAGGCAATTAAGAATCTGTCGGCTCGGATCAGCGTCTCCCAGTGTGACGGGCGCTCTCCAGCATGGGAATCGGAAAAAAATGAAATCACTTAGAAATGCACAGGGTTAAGATGTGTACCTTTTTTCTAGTCAGCGTTTTCCCGTTATGTTACCACTGGAAACAGATGAGCACGTGAGAGATTGAATTATCTTGTCATACTTTATTTTTTTTATAATTAAGTTGATGTTCTGAAGCTGGTTGAACTTTACACTTGTATTTTTTTGAAGTTCATAGTGTTGTGGTGGATTGATCTATTTGTCTGTGCCAGAAACTGGTCTGTCAAAAGATACGCTAAGCTGATGTAGATACATGCCAAACAGAAATGTCGTCTTTGGAAACAGAATATTTTACCGTGACATGGCCTGGTTTTTGTTTTTTTTTCTCCATGGCTCTGGTTTTTAAGTTACAAGTCAGGAATTGCGTGAAAAGTAAATTCTCTAAGTAAAAGTGTAATTATCCAACGACCAGCTGTAGAAATTTCAATGGGCCTGCTCTTCTGAAGTAATACCATTACCCATAACGCTAAATGAATACATATGCTTCAACAGCAAAGCAGTGTTTGTTCACAACGACAGTGGCAAAATATTTTCAACCTCTGCATCTACACCTCCGGAATATTTTAAGAAATATTATTTTAATCAATAATGATGGTGATAATAGATTTAATTAGTTAATGTTAAGTTTTTTAATGATGGGGTGCTTGGCCAGCAGGAGACTTTGGTGCAAAAAACAAAGGTTCAGACTCTTTTGATTTGGGGATGTAAAACTATGGAGCTGCAGAAGGAGCAGGAAGTAAAGGCCGTTCATGCACAAGGTGAATGAACCACTTAATGGTTTTTTTTTTCATGTGTTGACCTTGACTCCTCGCTGCCTCCCCTTCCTGTGTCGCACCATAGGTGTGTGGCACACCCGAGTACATCGCCCCGGAGGTGATCCTGCGACAGGGCTATGGCAAGCCTGTCGACTGGTGGGCCATGGGCGTCATCCTGTACGAGTTCCTCGTCGGCTGCGTTCCATTCTTCGGGGACACGCCCGAGGAGCTCTTCGGACAAGTCATCAGCGGTGAGTGGCCCGCGCAGGTCAGGACAGTGACGTGGGTATCCACTCACAATGCGCTGGAACACCGTTCCCGGTGCTTTTCAAAAATGTTTCCTGAAAAGAACTGCTTCTGTCCCCCCTTCCCCTCACTTCCGCAGTGCAGCACTTGTCACACTTTCGGCAACAGTGTTTGACACCACATGATCGTACAGGCACCCCAGTGCCCCTTTCTCCCCCCCGACTGGTCTGGTACAACACCAGTGATGTAGCCTGCCAGTACATCTGTGACTTACTGTACACTGCATTTGGCTCATCGTGCTTTTTTTGCTTTCACATCGCGCGCTTTCAGATGTTCTTCTGCGGCCATCTGGAACGCTCTTCCTTCCGATATTATAAAGCCACTGGAGCTATGCACTTTCAAATAATTTAGATTTAAAACTAATTTTTCTTTAGAACTGCTTTTTGTGTTTAGTTTGTCCTTCCCCCGCACCTGATTTATCACAGTTCGCTACGCACGGTGTGAAAGTAGTTCAACAGTCATATATACATATGTTTATTTTACATTTTTCACGAATGATACTGCTTCAATTACACGATTGGCACATTTGTCACTAATTTGTGTTTGTCTTCAACTACCAATGCTGCTCCTTGTTTTGTATTGTATATTATTATTATTATCTTTTTATTAATATGCAAACATGCTTCTCAGAAACAAACCTAGCCTTTCAGGAAATGTCCCTCTGTGTCTTCTTCAGAAATATGGGTCAACCTCTAAAGCATCAGCTTCTTGTACATATATTAGTATATACAGTAGTGACTGGATATTAGGTTTTATTTTAAGACTAGCAGGAAGTACCCGGCATTGCCCGGGTCTTAAAAATATTTCAAAACTACTCTTAAAAATGTAACAGCAGTGCGTACTGACTGTGGTGGCACCTGCTATGATGACAGCAGTGCATACTGTGGTGGTACCTGCTTTCACTGCAGCAGTGCATACTGTGGTGGTACCTGCTTTCACTGCAGTAGTGCATACTGTAGTGGTACTTGCTATGATTATAGCAGTGCTTACTGTGGTGGTACCTGCTATGATTACAGCAGTGCATACTGTGCTGGTACCTGCTTTCACTGCAGCAATGCCTACTGTGTTGGTAGCTGCTTTGATTACAGCAGTGTATACCGACTGTGGTGGTACCACTATGATTACAGCAGTGCATACTGACTGCGGTGGTACCTGCTATGATTACAGCAGTGCATACTGACTGTGGTGGTACCTGCTATCACTACAGTAGTACATGCTGACTCTATAGCAGTATTTATTGACTCTATGGCACCAAGTACTCACCTGACAGAGTGGCGTGGTGAGCCCTAGTCCCGTGTAGAGCCCCGGCCTCTCCTAGATTGCCCAGCTGGCCGAGGTGGCACCTTGGCAGGCTGGGGGCTGGGCTGCTACCCCTCACCCCCCATCCACGATCCACCCGCCCGCTCTGCAGTCATATCTACGGCCTATAGTAGTAGCATCTACCAACTCTATAGTAGTAACTGCACGCATTGGGGTGGGGGGGGGAGAAGAGGACATCACACTGTGAAGAATTTACCTCAGCGTTTTGTGTGTTTTTAACGCAAAATAAAATTTCCCCCTCACCCCCACCGAACACGTGTGACTTGGTAGGCGCCTTCCCCCCCCCCCCACCGAACGCGTGTGAGTTGGTATGGTCGATCACACGCTATTGAATAAATAAACGAAAACAGCACTAAATCGCTAATTTAACTTCTTTAAAGTTGACGGATGGGAAAAAGGGATAGTGCTTGCTCACCACGGGGCTTATGGCGTGGTACCTGGCTACTTTTTTTTTAAACATAAACACCACCGTTTGAGAGCCAAATCCTTCGCAAATGTGTGAACACACAGACAGATAGACAGACATCAAAAAAATAACATTTACATGTAAGATTACGTTTCTCACATGGCATATCAGCTGCATTTTCATGCTCACTTGCAGCATTTAACCACACGGTCCAAATCTGTCCCTTGTTTTAGCCAAATTTTATTTAAGGAAGCGTATGTTTTAGCGCAAAACAGCACATTAACTTTCTTAGCATCCTCTTAGGATTTACTTTTTTTATTCATCAGTTTTTTTCATGAATATAGCATGAACATTTGAAATGCATTGTTTTTTTTTTTAAAGGTTATTTTACTCTTGGAAAATTGTCTGTTCCAAAACGTACTTGTAAGCAGTAAAATAATCATCTCCAGCCATTGCGCGTTTTAATGGGGAGGGTGCTTGGTGTTCTTGCTGTTTGTGCCAACCCTGCCGAGTCATGGTTTTGTTCGTTTCTGACCTGACTTTAGCTGAAATTGGAAATCTCAACTGCTTCACTTTATTTACAGTGTGCTCTTCAAAAGAACATTTCCTCGCTTACAAAAAAAGCGCCGTGCTTTGAATGAGCCAAACTAATTTGGCATGGTGTACGTTGGCGAGGTCTTGGTCTGTATCTGGTAATGTGTACTACAAAACTGGCATGCGATTCCTGGCCACGGCTAACCAGTCCCGGGGTGATATCACAACTTGTACTGCGCCACCGACCCAGCCTTACATCAGTACCTGGCACGTGGCATAAAATATCAGCACTGGGGAGACGATGGAAGTCAGGTGCACTGTTGGATATTCCATCACCCCTTTGTGCACTGTGCCAGCCTTCATTCTTGCTCTCTAATTGCACTTACCCAAACTTGAAGGCTATCTAGGGGGATCTTTACATCGACACAACGCGTGTTGGCACGCGTTATGCCGATGTATACACACGTGCTTACGTGCGTGCCCGCGTGCGTTCCTCTGGTGATGTTTGTGCTGCTATGCAGATGAGATCGTGTGGCCCGAGGGAGAGGATGCACTGCCATCGGACGTCCAGGACCTCATCACGGGGCTGCTTGAGCGAAATCCTCTGGAGCGGCTTGGCACAGGTAGGCGACGGCATTCCGCCGTGCCAATCGCGGTTCCTTGCCGACCCTGCCACGCTCAATGCTTTGCTTCCTCCTCATTCCGTCTAATGCCCAATACCAGTGACATGTGAAACGTCAAACTCTTTTGGGCCTCTTCTATCTCAACGCAGCCTTCAATGATGATCACCCTCATTTAAACAGAACTAGGGAGACAAACGCATAGGCAGCTGAGCAACACTACCATCTTGTGCGCCATACTGGCCTAATAGGTTATCATAACACTTGCCCTAGCAGTCTCTGTGGTTATGTGGGAGATCTTTGTTTATGTGTTTCATTTCCCATGTGTTTGTACCCAGTCTGAAATGCCACCTAGCAGCGTAGCTATCGAGTGTGTAGGCAGTGCAACTGCCCACAGGCTGGAGGTTCCCAGGCACCGCGCTATGAAAAAACTGGGCAGGCAGCCGCATTTCATTTCTCGCACCAGGGCCCATGCCAACCGCACTACGCCACCGATGCCACCCGCGTTAATGCACCTGTCTTTGTGTTCCCCTGCGCGTGTTCGGCCGTCAAGGTGGAGCCTTCGAGGTGAAACAGCACCAGTTCTTCCACAGCCTCGACTGGGACGGACTGCTCCGACAGAAGGCGGAGTTTGTGCCTCAGCTCGAGTCCGAGGAAGACACCAGCTACTTCGACAGTAAGAGGCCGTGTTTCGCCGCAGACATGGGACGCCTGCATCGAAACGTCTTTGCTCGTTGGCACGGGCCGCACACCCCTCGTGCACGCGAATGACAGTCACCCCCAACATTCTATAACGAGGGATCTTTTTACATTTTCTGTCGTGCGTTGCGCAGCGCGCTCGGATCGCTATCACCACCTGGACTCCGAGGACGACACGAACGACGAGGAGCCACTCGAGATGAGGCAATTCTCCTCCTGCTCGCCCCGCTTCAAGGTACGCCACGGCCCTGCGTGCTGCTGACACTGCGGCACGGGCCTGGCCTCCGTGCATCCCTTGCTTACCTGGAGCTGGTGGTAATCATAGGGAACACAGCACATTGGAGGGGCTGAGTTCATACCCACACACTCAATGTAAATAATAAATATAGCAGAAATATATTATTACCCTTTGTCAGTCCACTGCTGGATGAAGGCCTCCCTACATTGTTCACTCTTCCTACATCTTGCTGATCTAACTTAAACATATATATGAGCATTACAGAAAAAAACCTCACATACACTTTCACATTAACTGAATTTCATTTTACGTAGCAATTAAATATCACAAAAATCACTTTAATTCCATGGGTCGGTACAGAAAATCATACATTGGTGGAATGGTTTCAAACTTAGAACTTGGGGGGAAATCATGAAGACCACTTTGGGTACTACAAGATTAATTGTGGAGAAGGACTAACGATCTAGACCAGGTCCTGGAGATGATCTTGAAAGAGGGGTGAGGAGAGAAATGAAGACGTAACTTATCAGATTGAGGACATGCCCAGTACCGTGTAACTCTGGTCCTCTAAGGATGTTAACCCAGGCTGCAATTTTGACTAGTGTATCAAACAAACTCAAACGGTCCCCTGCCTCGCTCTGCCTGCCTCTCCTGCTAGGTTTACAGCAGCATGGAGCGTTTGTCCCACCACGACGATCGGCGCATCCCCACCACGCCCGCGACGCCCACGCCTACGCCCACCCCGACGCCCAAGCGCAGCGCCAGCGAGGACAAGGATGAGCGCGGCAGCCTCGTCACGCTGCGCGCGCACGACAAGGGCTGGATGCTCGGTTCGCCAGAAATGTGAGCGGCGTTGTTGCGTTTGTCATACGCCGCTCTGGTTTAATATATCGGCTTTCGAGACCAATAGTATCCATAATAAAGGTTTCTTTGGGTTAGATCACGTCGTTAGCCCGCCGCCACCCAACACAGGCACTAAACACACTTCAGCACACCAACGCACCGGTGTGCTGAAGTAGTAACTAATTGGCACGTTTTGTTTGCATGACAAACCTTATTAATTGGCTGTGTCAGGTGGTGGCAGGTTCACGGCACATTTATACTTAAGTGATCTAACCCAAAAAAACCTTTATGATACTCCACAACCCCTCCCGTTTGTATCATTGCGTATTTAACGGAGAGGACTCGCTACTCAGCCCTTGCATGTTTGCACATGGCAGTCCAGCGTCTCCACTCATTCCTATCCAACGCTTTGCAAAGTGCCTCTGGTGATGTCCGAGCCTATGTTTTGAAGATCTTTTCTAGCAGTCTCCTTGACATCCAAGTGTGGATTTCCAAGTCGAGCTGCATGTTGAGCATTTATTTTCTCAAGGTTTTGTAGCAGCAGCAGAAGAAATGCTCAACACGTGGCCAAATCCAGAAAATATGACCTGTGTTAAATAGTCTCTTCACTTCTTCCCTGGAGGGAGGCTACCGGGTGGGTTATGCCAGTCCTAAGCCTGGATGAAGGAAGAGGGTTTTGCAATGATCTTGCAAGCGACCCAGTTATAAAAACCTACTGCAACACATGGTACAGTGGCAACATAACTGGCAGGACAGTAATACCAATGTTATAGCAGAGGTCAAAACTGCAGAGAATGGAGTAGCTTGATCATTGAGGTTACGAATTATCGGTAATGAGGAGAGAGAGAGAGTTACTAATAATGAGTAGGAGAAATGACTTGTGAAAATATGAATTTCCCTTTTTGTGTAAGTTGAGTAACTTTCAAATTTTCCAGCAATGCGATTGGCTTTCTTTGACACCCCTCTGGTGTCATGTCCTCTTCCTGTTTTCACGGCAGCTTCACTGGCCAGAGCTGTGTGATTAGACGGCATTTGTCCGCGAGTGCTGCTTATTTTCTCCGTTGACGCGCGTGACGCGACCGGCGTCCGTCCGTCTCAATCCCCAGCCTTCGCAAGCGTCTGTCGGGCTCGGAGTCGTCGCACACGGAGAGCGACGGGAGCCCGCCCGTGACGGTGCGGCGCCGGCGCTCGGCGCTGCTCGACATGCCGCGCTTCGCCATCGCGCTCGAAGACCAGGAGGGCGAGGCGGCCTGCACGGCGGCCGCAGCGGCGGTCGCGATAACGGGCGGAGGAGGTGCGACGTTGTCGCACGCGCCCGTCACACGGAGCGGCAGCAAGTCCGGCGCCACGCAGGCGCTGCTCACCATCGGAGAGCTGGCGCTGACGGAGGAGGCTGGCGGGACGCCCACCACCCCGACGGCCGGCGGCGATAACAGCAGCTCCACACTGTCCGGTGAGAGACGGCCACGCTCGGCGCTCTTGACACAGATGGGGAAACCTTCCATAAATGGACAGTTACCATTCTAGCATAAAATATTTTAACTTCAGCAGCCAAAAACCTTGAAGGCTACAACTTAAACACCCATCTGATAACTGACATGCAGAGTACCACTCATTGCAGAGGCATAGGTGGCAGGTGGCTCGAACTAACAGGGCTCAGCCTCTACTCCCCTGCTCACTAACACAGCCTAGACATGAAAAGCTCTCAAGGTCACCACTAGCAGAGCACGTGGCAACCCGATACAATCGGTGACCACATGTCCTTGGGCTCGTCAGCCTACCACATGCTCATCTTGTGGCAATCTTGCAGGCAGTCATTTTTAAATATGTTTACCTGTATAGAATGCAATAAATGTACTCAATAAAAATATAGAGGTGCACCTTAAAATGTTTTCTTATCCCCACCATGAGAGGACACCTATTCAACTCACTGCAGAAGTAAGTGTACCTGTTGTACCATCTCCAGGGTCCGTGTCGTTCACTGACAGGGCAATTATGCTTCAACTATTACAGGAATTTCGCCAGAACAGTGTCTCGCCTTCCAACCAAATTCTCTAATTAAACTGAAATATAAAAATGCTATTTTACCAGGTAAAGCCTCCCGAGCTATCGCTGTTTCTCAGAAACAACCTGGCCACAAGTGATAGCTCAGCAAAGTTGCTTACCATGTGGAAATGTATATCAGCCAACTACTCCAAATGCACATTGATTCGAAATGTGAAGGGAAAAACTGGAGGACCCGGAGAAAAATCCACACAACCACAGGGGGGGGGGGAGACATGCAAACGCCATATATACAGTCGTCAGGATCATTCAGGACCTCCTGTATACTCGGCGAAGTAGTCAACATCTCGCCACCTTGGTATCCCCACCGTCCCGGCGCAGTAGAGAGCGGCACGGACGTCTCGGAGGGCCCCGCCCGTTCCCGTGGTGACAGCGCCGACTGCTCGCTGCTGGACGGCGCCGCGTCTGCGGCCGCGTCGGCGACGTCGGCCAAGGCGACGAGCGACCTGGCGGTGCGGCGCGCACGCCACCGGCTCATGTCGGGGGAGGCCGGGGCGACGCCGGCCGTCGGGGGACCAGCCCCCGAGCGGCGCAAGGCCAAGCCGCTCAACAAGGTCATCAAGTCGGCGTCGCACAGCGCGCTCTCGCTCGTCATTCCCTCCGGTGAGACGCCCGATGGCGCACTCGCCCCACCGCAGAAACGTTTACTCGTCTAGCGAAGCCTCGCCGAGCAAGTGGGTATTCGTGTAGTCGGGACAGTCCTGCGGGGGGTGGCGTGATTGCTCGGTTAATTTTTTATACTTTCCACCTGAGGTTGAGTGCGTTTATACTTTAGTTCTGTATATCCGCCCATCTGTCCAGATATGATAATAACGCTCATAAAGATGATCCGGTATAAACAAACCTGTATTTTAAAGTTGTGCTGATCTCAAGGACTCGATTTAACAAAACATTAACAAAATTGATCAGAGCGTTTCCCAAAACTTGGAGACACAAACCTGAGCAATGTAGGACTACTTGTGAATAAGTAAATGAGTTTTTCTGTTACAAATACACACCAGCTTTCTTACCACTAAAGAAAACCCAAATAAAAAGGCATGTTGTAAGCATGACAGTATTCGATGCATGTGCATGGAATACTTGTGCTCTGATAGCTCGTATATACCTCCTGTATAAGGGCACAAGCGCAGTTTCATTAACCCACTTGCTGTATTGCAGTCATCTGGCCACTTCAATGTCAAGTGAGCCGATGTGATCCTTAAATCCTTGACTCCACAGTGGTGAATTACAAGTGCGAATTATCATATACAAACTTTGGATGTGTGTTTTGGGCTCTCCTACATGTTTTAATAGCTGCGTTCATGTGAAGAAAATATGTGAAGGTCACAATAAGGAGCTCCGTCACATTGCTGTTGTCATGTCACTTCACGGAGATGCTAAAATCCGAATCAGACGGTATGGGAGTTATGTCAGTCACGTGCCAATAATTATACACTTGATTGTAACACGTCTTGTTTCTCACTGACACACTTTACAGAGCTTAGAGCTCATGTTAGGCATGCCAGAGCAGACAGCTAAAGTTATGTCTACATTACATGTCGGAACCCATGTAATCCACTCACATTTGGAACAGCGCGGGTACGTGCAGTGCTATGGACGCGCCAGCGGGTGCATGTGTGCATCTGTGGGTCGTTTGCTTACGTGCGGATGTGTGTGCGCGCACGTTGGCATGCGAGCAGAGCAGTATGTGGGCTCCCCACTGGCGAGCCCCATGTCCCCGCGCTCGCTCTCGTCGAATCCATCGTCGCGAGACTCGTCCCCGTCGCGGGACTTCTCCCCGGCGCTGGGGGCGCTGCGCTCGCCCGTCGTGATCCACCGCGCCGGCAAGAAGTACGGCTTCACGCTGCGCGCCATCCGCGTCTACATGGGCGACTCGGACGTCTACTCTGTGCACCACGTCGTTTGGGTGAGTGAGTCAGGGTCGCACGCTGTGTGGGGAAACGAAACGACATATCTCGGACCGTGTTCGCGAGCACAAGGTAGATCTGAAACACGGCAGAACCAATTCCTCTGCCGTGGCTGACCATTGTTATAACGCTGTGGGCTCTCATGATATTGTTTTTTTCCGAGACCAAGATACTCTGCAAACCTTCTGGCTACTACCAAAGGTTTGTTCATGAAGCCATCCAGATATTTAAACATAGACATAACTTCAACCGAGAAGATGGATACAAATTGAGCAATCATTTGAAGGATGTTATCAACCTGGTAAAACCCTAACTGCTTTGTAGTGGTTGTCGTCTATCATATCTGCCGGGTACTACTACTCCACGCAGCACCTCCCCCTACCCCACACCCCCTCCCTCTTCTCCCTTACTCCTCCCCCTTCCTTGCCTGTATAGCCTCTTACCACGGCAACTCTCTCTCCCACTTCAGCAAAAACAATATTGCTGTGGATTTCCCACCTGAGGATGATTGCTTGTGTTGCAATGGAAACGTCCTGATTTGATTTATTTTATTTATAACCTACGTGACTTTACCGAAAGAACCAAAGAGTATAGATCCCTGCAGTCACGAAAACTTCAAATCTAGATTATTATTGGTGGTGGCGATAGATGGGGAGAGGGACCATAGCAGTGGTCGTTTGCTTTGACAGAGGTCTTGTGAAGCCGCCATAGTTAAAAGAAAAAAACGGCGAGATCAACTGAGACCACAACGTGGACGAACGGAGACAAAGATGGAATGACGAGCAGAGGCGGGTGTCCGTCGAATATTTTTTTTAAACTTTAGAATAAAGTTTTGTTGCAACTAGGGACTCAGCGTATTGAAAATCGGCCAAATGAATAAAAGCTTGGGAGACAAACCCAGCTAATAAGACTAATTGCAAATGTCCTGGCAGCTCGCAATCCGCTTCCATCCTGCTCATTAAATACTTCCGATTTTGGAGAGCGTTGCATAATCCATGCATATGCACATTTTTTCCTAATTTGTTTGCTTTTTGTGGATTTTTTTGTGGCTCGTGCTCTCTCTCTCTGCGGCTGCTGCTGCTGCTCTCTTGACCGTGGCAGAACGTGGAAGAGGGCAGCCCAGCCAACGAGGCCGGACTGCGCGCGGGTGACCTCATCACGCACGTCAACGGGGAGCCCGTGCACGGCCTGGTGCACACGGAGGTGGTGGAACTCATCCTGAAGGTGACGACACCACTTCCTCCTCCTCCTTGCAGCTCCTGCTGGCCTCCTGCTATGTTTCCTTTCTTGTGGCATTTGTAAAGCAGCTACTTGGCTCTACCTTGTGGTGTATTGACTTGGCGCCTTGTAAGGGCCGATCAGTGTTTTGCCATTGGTTTTTGGAGAGGGAGGCGATTATCGTATTCGGTCACCGATTTGATGACATTTTATTCACACGTGGCAGGGAAGTCGTGAGAATATTGTCACGGTGGCGAGTTGTTAATTATCTAGCCTGGTATACAGGTCGTGGGTTTGATCCCGCCTCTGACGATGTCCATATGTTTGGAATTTGCATGTTCTCCCCGTGCGATTTTTCTTCGGGTCCTCGTTTTTTCCCTTCACATTTAGAAACATGCGTTTCGAGTATTCGGCTGCTGTAAATATCCACATGATAAGCCACTTCGTTGAGCTATCAAAAATGGCTTTGCTACCTCTGAAAAAGAGCTCTAGAGCTCAGTGGGCCTTACCTGGTGATATAAAAAAAATCAAAATCTTCCATACCTTCTGCAATAGGAATAACAATAAAATTTAAATCGAGATCATGGAGCCAATCTATGCAACGAGTCATTGAATCTTACTTTGCCTACGATACACGTGTCAAATCGTGTACGTGAAAATACATTTTTGTTTTGTCTATTTCCCTCATGGTATCCCACCTGTGCTCTCGGCATCATGAGATGAATCCATGAGGATCTTTCACAGAGCAGTGCAAACCATCATGTTGGACAACGGCCCACGATAGCAGCTTTCACGGAGCTGCTTCTGATATCTCTTCAAGTGACCTCTGGTTCACGCAGTAGGGGGCAGCATTTTCCACCAACCCTTCCACAGAGAGTAAATGATCGTCGCATTACAGTAAATCAAATATTTTAATTGTGTTCTCCCTGAATTTAAGCCAAATGAAAATGTCATTAGCGTCATTGTGGAGACTAAGTAATATAAAATAGTTAATCGGAAAATATGCCTCCATATATCGCTGCACATAAAAAAACCAAGCCTCTGTTGCTTTTATTTGAATCAATACTGCTGAAATGATGCACTCCCACGACTGTAAAGCTGATGGTTGTGTTTAAAAAATGCTTTTATCATTTATGTTGAGAAAGACAGACTTATGTAGGGGATGTACAGTCTGCTTATCTATTTTGTTCCACAAATGAAGCGCAGAACCAAATTTGACGTGACGGATTATTTGTTGTTGTTGCGCCCATTGGTGACCAGGCGAAGTTGATCACTTTCACTACATTCCGACAAATGTTAATCACGGGTGGCTGCCCCAGATTAAAACCCTGGGTCTCAATAGTGCCGTCTCCAATGTCTGACTCCTAAGCCACCTGGCCAACTTGCTCGCTAAGGCTCACTCCTACGTGTGTGTGTTGCCCTTTTGCGCGTTGCTCGTCATCCGCTGCAGAGCGGCTACAAGGTGTCCATCGCGACGACGCCGTTTGAGAACACGTCCATCAAGGTGGGGCCTGCACGGCGCGGCAGCTACAAGTCCAGGATGGCTCGGCGCAGCAAGAAGAGCAAGAAGAAGGAGGGCACCGACAAGTGAGAGAGCAGTCGTGGAGCCCAAGGAGCGGACATTAATAGTTGGATTGTTAACCTCGCTTGCGGCAGGCAGACATCGGATATGTTTTCCCGTACTGTTCAACGCCGCATATCCGAATGTCACCTGTCTGAGGTGACCAATTAAACACCTAAAGCCCAATTGCAGGATGCTTGTATGGTGTAACTGTCATTTTCTAAAAGATGTTCACAAATCTGACCCTTTCACATGCAGTAATATGTTCTTGATTTCACGTACAATCTTTCATTTCTGAAGTATGGTCAAGCATTTCCTAATGTATAAAGCAACAAAATCGCAGACCAATTGATTTTATTTATCTGTTTGACATCACTAAACCCTTGGCTGTAAACTCCAACAGCTCACCGCGTTTGTACCCCTGTGCTACTACTCCCCCAACTGCCCCGCACCACGCAGTCGCAAGCGCACGTCGCTGTTTCGCAAGGTGACACGCCAGGCGACGCTGCTGCAGACGAGCCGCAGTCTGTCGTCCCTCAACCGCTCGCTGTCGTCCAGCGAGAGCGTGCCGGGTTCGCCCACGCACAGCCTGTCCCCGCGCTCGCCTCCACAGTGCTACCGCTCCACCCCAGACTCGGCACACTCCGGTGAGGCGCTCCTTCGTTTGTTCCTCCTTCAATGCGATAATGAACAACCGCGTTCACCCTGACTGAGCGGCTAACCCCGTTCCACCTGACCGAACAGTCAACCCCATTGACTCTGACCGAACAACCAACCACGTTTACCATGACTGCACAACCAACTCCGTTCAGCCTGTTGGAGCCGCCCGCCAATTCACTTTGATTGATGACTAAGACACCGTTACCAAAAGACTGTTGAATTGACCCTTGACCAAACCACCAACATATTCACCCTCACCAAATGATCGACCGATTTACCGCGATTGAACGACCGTGCTTTTTGCCTACTTTATTCACCAATGGCAGCAGATTATCTGTCTACCATGCTTCAATCTCACTCAATGCCACACTTGCATTCATCTTTCATAGTCAGATTGAGGTACTCACATTCCAGTTTAATCATCTCCACCCTGGGATTTTGTCCTCGCACACTTTGTCTGCCTTAAACAGTAAATATGATTCATTTTTGTCTTTCATTGAAGAAATGGTAAACCCCAATTTGTGTTTGTATCTATATTCATGTAAGTAGATTAAGTAAACTTTTGTTTCAATTAAATTTGGTGATATTTTTTTTTAAATTAAAGTCCCCAGTTAGACATTATAATATTTTGTATATAGCGTCTTCTGCAATTTTATCTCCATTGGGCTATCGATGTTGTGTCATGAGACTAAGTAGCCAATTGGATGGATCTCTATCTGCACAACTCTTCACATTAGAGAATGGCGCACAGAAGCGGATATAACTAAATTATCTCTGAAATCTCTTTAAGTGACCTAATTTTCTCACAATAGGGAGCAGCACTACCCCACCCTGTGCCACAATGCGAATGATCGTCGCTTGACAGTTAAACCGGTATTTTAATCTTCAGAGCAGAAATTTTGCCAAATTCATTGCAGAACTGAAATTATTGTGATGGGTTTGTTTTTGTCATCTGAAAAGCACAGTGGGGAGCTGCACTCTTCCACCCACTCTCCGATTAGCGCCTCCGATTAGCACGGTTGGCTACGTACGGTGCAAAAGAAGCTCTACATATGTACATACATACAAGCACTCTGCCGCTGAGAGTCCTAACGGGTGCCCGCGTGTGTACTCACATTACCCCCCTCCCACTCTTTACCCATCTTTCATCACCAGGAGGCACGTCGTCTCCGAGCAGCTCCCCGTGTTCCAGCACCCCCAACTCCCCCGCGGGCTCGGGACACATCCGGCCCAGCACCCTGCAGGGGCTGGCACCCAAGGTGCAGCGCACGTACCGCTCGCCGCGCCGCAAGTCAGCCAGCAGCATCCCCCTGTCGCCGCTGGCGCGGACACCGTCGCCCGGGCGACCTTGCTCCAGTGCCACAGGGACGGCGGCCGGAACCGGAGCGTCCGGGTCCCCCCCGCCCTCGCGCTCCGAGTCGCCCACACCCACGCCGTCGCCCGCGCTTTGCCATCCCGGGCTCGCGGCCGGCGCCGGCGTGGGCAAGATGCACTCGTCGCCACCCACCGTCATACGGCAGGTGAGAGATGGAGCGAGCGAGCGAGCGATCGTTCGTTCGATCGCACGCATGCACTGGCGCAGCGAGTGGGATGTGGACTGTGTGGCGGCACGTGCGCAGAGGTGCGGGTTGCTGTGCCGTTCACTGGGTACGGTGCGACGAACGCCCGTGTGGTTCTGCGGCTACTAGCCAGGCCTGGTGGAACACGTGGAGCGGTGTGATCCTCCATGTGCATAAAGGAAATCTCAACCCAAAAACACAATAAGTTGTTGTTTGTATAGACATGCCTGGGCTGTGCATCATCCATGGCTGTCTTATATTAATGAAAAGATTTGTTAATGAGAAAGAAGACTATCAAACTATGATGAATCTTGTCATTATGGCACTACAGTGATGGCAGTGCCATGTATTAAATGAACAAAGCTTTATATTTGTATATTAGCATCCATGACGTATGACATGAGCGTTTACTGAATGTAGGTTCTTTGAAAGGATGTTTCTTTGCCTTGTGTTAAAATCCAGCTTGCTCTATTGACAGAGATACCACGTGTTGTTGTTTTGCTTTCCCACCTCCACACACAGGTATTTGTGAACGCCTCCCAGTCCACGCGTCCCAAGAGCGCCGAGCCCCCGCGATCCCCACTGCTGAAGCGCGTGCAGTCGGCTGAGCGTCTCGCCTCCGTCTACAATTCCGACAAGAAGCAACAGCAGCAGCAGCAGTTACAGCAGCTGCAGCAGCAGCAGCAGCAACAGCAAGGACAGGCACAGCACACGCCCCTTTGTCGCAAGCCCGACCCGTGCGACCTGCGCAAGGAGGACGCGTCGAGGCCCGAGCGCGGCTGCCTGCGCAAGCTGAGCCGCCAGGAGCACGACGACGGGGAGGAGCGCGAGCGTCACCACCGCGAAGGCTGCCTGTCAGCCAGGGCCGACAAGAGCAAGCTGCCCAAGCAGGAGATCGAGGCCATCGAGGAGGGCAGCGACTCGGAGACGGAGGGCGAGAGCACGGGCGACTCGGACAAGACTGCGGATGGCTGCGATGCCGCCGGACATGGCTGTGGTGAGCCGGGGCACTGCGTCCCGGGGGGCGCCGCCAAGGGGGCGGTCCAAGAGGCTGGAACGGCGATGACGCCGGTTAAAGACTCCGCGCAGCTGGCGATGCCAAAGCGCTCCTCGCCGGTGTCCGAGGGGAAGGCCACGGGCGCGATGGAGAGCTGCGATCGTGTGGGGCTCTGCCGGGACAAGGAGCCAGACGTTGATCTCAGGCCAGACCTGAGGGCACATATGGACAAACGCATAAAGCAGCAAGAGACCGTGCCAAAGATTGAGTTGTCGAACGAAATCGATAAAGCGAGTGCCGACAGCGCTACGTCAAGCCAAACTGTGATAAAAAATCTCGAACAAGGCAATTCCGTGGTTCTTTCCATGGACGCTACAGGCGCAGCAGCAGCAGTAGTGACGGGGGCAACAGCAGATAAGTTGGTCCAGCAGAAGCTGCCAGAGACCTCTCCCTCTGGAGCAAAATCCGAAGTGGGTTCAAAACCAGAGCAGGTGCCGCGGATGGACCAGGGTGTCCAAACAGACTCGGCGCTCACCAACTATCGCCCTGGAATCCTGCGGTCAGCTGAGCGGAGGAGCAGCTCCCTGGTTGAGGGAATGGTCAAATCATCGCCAGCACCTGTAGCTGGGTTGGGAACGGCAGTCACAGCGAGGGAGGCGTCGACGTCGATGAGCAAGGAGCCAGCGGTGTCAGCAGGCAAGCCAGGGCCCTCGAAGCGGCAGGCAGAAGCATCCATCAGTGCAGGCAGCAGCGTGGCCCCCACATCGTTGGGAAAGGCAGAGGATGCCATGGCGTCGAAGGTCATTTTGGACCTGCAGGGGATCCTGCTGGACCCGCCGAAAGCCATGTCGGGCCAGTGTTTCACGCGCTCGGCATCCGTCTCGACGCTCAACAAGAGGGACGCTCAGCAGATCAAGGGCGAGTTCCACGCGGAGGCGAGGGCGACCGCTGGGCTGGCCGGGCACCCGCTAGTCTGTACGAGCGACGCCATTTCCGCACTCGAAAGGATTTTGCTGTCGTCGTCGAAGGTCGGCCCCGGGGGGAGACCGGCGCCTGACAGGGAGCTTGGCACAGAGCTCGGAGATGGCGCAACAGCCAAGGCGGTCGCTCGCGCGGCACCCGGAGTGGGCGAACGAAACCCAGCGCTGAGACCACTCGTGTCCTCTTTGCCGAGCTGGGAGGCGAAGGCAGTGGTGGCGGTGTCGGAGAGGGAGCGGCGGGTGCTGCGCCCCGGCTCCCCAGCACCGGAGCGGAAGCGTCCGTTTTCCTGGGCGCCGACAACATTCCCAGCAGATGCAGAGGCTACAGCCTTCGTGCCACCATTGCCACCGCAGCTTCCACCACAGCCTCCACCGCAGCCTCCACCGCAGCCTCCACCACAGCCTCCATTGCAGCATCTACCACCACCACCAACACTGAGGGTGGAGGAAAGGATGAGCAGTGATTCCCAGCCCAAGGAGATGGACGTAAAGTCTAAAGCACCGGGCAGCAGCAAGAAATGAGTGTGAACAAAGACAAAGAAGCAAATAAAGGGATATTAGCATGTTTACTACGCCGTGCTGCGGTTTGACTTTTATTGCTTCCCCTGAAATTAGTTTCCCACAAACCCCGCCTGCCTCAGCACTGTCATTGTGGCTCTTCCTGACCATCCCTTCATCCTGAGTCCTGCTCGTTTATGGATTCCTTGTCGAAAAAAAACACATTTATCCCCGCTCTCCCCTGTGCTAACTGCCCCTGACCACGACCCAATTCTCTCAAGGCCAAACCTCACCCCTGTTGGACCATGATCCCATTAACCTCTGACCCCTAAACCCACGTCCCTGGTAACTTGTTCCCTGTGATATTTGCTTGAAGCAGGCGTTGCAAACCCGTCGGTAGATTTTTTTTTATTAGTCTTGAATTGCTAGGCCAGTTGGGTAATCGGTGTCACCCACATAATTAATTAGTTTGGAGATTTGGCTGGGTGTGACACACACACATACAAGCACCATGCAGAGGGGAGAAAAAATTGAAACCCTCAGTACACCGCTTGCTCCGCTGGTTGCGGTGACTTGACATCGGTAGTGCATGTATATCGGGAGGGTTGTAGCGGTTGAACGGACGAGTCTGTTGGTCCATCTTGTAGTTAGCAGTTTCTAGAGTTATCCGCTTCTGCCTGTGGTGGTGTCGGTGTCGGTGCTGTTGGCTGTGCCGTTGTACATAAAACACGTTAGTCGCTTTGCAGTGTGGCTGCACGTATTGCTCACATTGCTTGTCTCTTTAGGTGTTATTCTTTTTACACTGAAATACTTGAAAGCTGTATGTATGTGTATGTAAATAGTATACAGTATTTATGCATTAATTGGCATTTGGCAGTGTTGAGCTTTGTAAGTGAAGCCAACGAATTATAGCATAGGTAGTGCTCCTTTTGGCCCCAGCAGCTGTGTGCTTGGCTCCCCAGTGGTGTCACGTTCAGAAACAATGTCTTAGTTTTCTCTGCGGTGCATATGCAAGTCAATCAGCTACAGTCAGAATATTGTCTGGCTCGTTTAAGTAAATTTCTTCCCCAAACTTGGTAAAAGTCGGAATTGTGTTTTCAAGTTTCATCACACCTCGGACACTGCACACTGTCTGGCTTTGCGACTAGAAGAATGTTTAAAAAAAAAAAGTTCCTCCTGCAGACTGTGTGGGGACCAAACACAAATGGATCCCAATTTGGCCAATTTGGTTGAGGCCTGCATAAATATTTAGGAATATAAAGGAGTCCGATCATGGGGATATAGGTGGCAAATTTTAAGTTTGCTCCCTTGCTTGCAGACGAATATTGGTTTCCGTATAGTTGGTTTCTAAAAAGAAAAAAAATGCTTCTTGGAAAACAAGAAAGGCAGAGGTAAACATTTTTCCAGCTGTAAATGCAAACTTTGTCTAACCAGTATTCTGAGATCTCACTCCTTTCATGATCATCCTGGTGTACATGCATACGCCAGACATGTGTGGCTTTTCAATATTTGTGAGTATACCATTATTCTTTTCATTTAACTGTTGGAAGTTTAGTTAACTCGCCATCACATCCCTGCTGTTTGCGGTCACTGTTGTCTGTGGGATTGCTGGCATCCGGTGAATCAGATGTGGGTATGTCGCCACTGGTCTGGCCATAATGACAGTGGAGAGCCCCAAAGAGTATGGAAGCATCTTTATCATACAATAAAGGCCTGGCCTGGAGAATAAATGGACAATTGGACTATATTAGAATTCGTATTCAATGTAATTTGGTGAAATGTTCACATGGGCCGTTTTTTTTTAATCACACACATTTTGCACACGGTCTCAGAACACGAGGACACAAATGGTCTGTGTTTGCAGTGGAGAGTTTTTTTTCCCCATTCCTGAACAGAGCAGGAAGGAAAGATCTGCGAGATGCAAGAGAATCGCAGCAAAATGGGACTGTATGGCTGAAAGCAGAGTGTGGTGCAACATATCAGTGTGAAACTACGATAAAACTAAATAAAATACATTTTACCGTGATCTGGCCAGTAATTTGGTGAATATCAGTTGATGACCACAAGTAAGCCACCAACTGCTCCAAAATATCAGTGTAAAAAAAACTAAAATATGAATTTCGATTAAGCCACCTGCTGCTTTAAAATTAAGCCCACATTGCAAATGTAATATATCGATGACATTGTGACATGGAAACTAGGTTGTGCCGCATGGGATTCTGCTTTACACTGCAAATTAAGAAAGTGTGCATTCCAATGTAGTGAGATACGTGGCCACGTTTAATAATATTTGGGTGGATGGTTTTTATTTACTTCGCAATCAGTAAATGCTTTCCATTTTGTGTTATTTTTTTATCAATGGAAAAAAGCATAATATATCCACGGTTTACTTGGTGTGACTCGTTACAAAAGTTAATTACATTAATGGGGAAGAGAATTGAGCCGAAGACGCTCGCTTTAGATGCATTTTCTGCTGGTGTCTGCCAGGAGTTCCTGGAATCGCAGTGCACTGCACCCTTTGAGGGCAACTACTGTTCGTAAGAACTTGCCTCGAAAGTCTGTAAGGTGTATTTGTGCGAGTCGGAGCATGTATGCGTGTTGAGCCCATTCACATACTACAAGTGCATGCAACAGAAATACATGACTGTGGCAGAGGAATTGATTTAATTTCCATGCGTTCCTCTGCATGTTATGGCTTTCTGATAGTTTGGGGAAAGCAAACTCATGTGGATCAGCATAGATAATGATAAACTACATGATATTCCATCTCATTAACTGGGAAAATACACAGATTGGGCTCACTTTTGAGAATTAGATGCTACAAAAGGCGTAATGATCAAATGTTATCCTGGATTCTTATAAAGCCACTTACAAACCATGCATTTACATATTACACTGCAGTGAAGTCGGGTAACAATGAGAAAATTAATAGTGATGATGTCATTGTGTTGCACAGGTGTCGGTGCAGGATTTTGACTTAGAATGCCCATCTGCCAATAGGATATGCTTGTCTTTCAGCAAATAAATGTTCTGATATTATTTGGACGTCATTTGCCAAATTCACAAACCAAAAAGTTATTTAGATTAGAAAGCCTCAATTTTAAAGCCCCACTGTGTTTTTGCTGGTTCATGTTTATAACGTCTGTATAAAGCAACTTTGACAATTGTCCACGCCTTTCTGGTGACTTGTATAAGTACGATTCCAGTCCGAGTCCATTTTACTGTGCACACTTTGCACATTTCCCATTGGAAAATATTTTATCGTAAAGGGCAGTTGGCCAAGTGGTTGATCATTCTCAACAGGAAAAAAACACAAATTTGTCATATATTTCCACTGCAAAAATATTGTCTTTGAATGGCAAGTGTTTAAATACTCTAAGAATCCCATTCTCAAAAATAACATTCAATCTCCCCTGTGTGGTCATGTGTATATAGCAAGAATACACTCATGGAGCCAATTAATGTAGTGTGTGTGCACGTGACAGAAGCAGGGTCTCTCATGAATGTAAATATTTAGCAGAGGTGTTTGATGTTATTGTTGCAAATGCTTGTAAGAGGTGCGGTGCCAGTGCGGTTGGTAACCTGTGGTCGAGGTTGTTGAGAGTGCAGTGCGCATACCTAAAGAGGCCATGCTGCATTTAGTATGGTTACATATTTTTGGCATGCACGTTTAGTCTACATTGCTTCTTTTGAACAAATGGGCGCAAATATGTTCAGAACGCTCAACTGCATTGGCAGCTCATAACAAGCATTGCAAAATCGGAGAGCTGCCTATCCCCTACTAACATCGTTTACAATTCATGATCCTTATGGGGTTATGGAGTAGTGGTAACCCAGATCGCTACGTATCCTGGCGACCTCAATTCGATTCCCTACAATGGCTAACAATGGTGAGTTATGTCTGACCTGATCCTTGGCAACCTCTCTTTACCAGCCTACACTAATCTGCGTGAAAGTGTGGTCAACCCCATTGATGAATACAAGTTTTAGTTTATTTGTTTAAGTTTCTATGTTTAACTAACCGAGAACTCAAGACACTGGGATAGTCTCATTTGCAAGAGTTACCTCGGGTCTACAGTGTGGAAAGGCCTTCATCTCCAGCAGTGGATTGGCAGAGCACCGTTATTTAAAATGCACCGTATGTCTTTTAGGATGTATTTCTGTATTTAAATATGAAGTGAGCCACTACAAGCCTCCATTTGCAAACATGGCTAATTGTACTTGGTCAAGTTCTCAGTGTGCTTTTTCTGGTTTGGGATCTGGACCTGGTCTTGAACCATCTATGCCACATCACATCCCAGACAGGCACAGCCACCACTTCTCCCTCTGACTGATGGTGTCTGTGGGCATCAAACTTGATCTTGAATCCCCACTAGTGGATGCAACGCCAGCTAGCACCATATTTTGTCCATTTGTGTTGTCATCACTTCCATTTGAGGGTTGGCTTGTCTAACTTTAAGATTGACGTTATTCACAGTCCAATGCATAGATCACTGGACCTCTTAAATTAGATGCCAGTCTATGGCTATTTTTGTCAGACAACCTTTAAAGCAACTGCTAGTCATTTTATTTGACATGACATTGAAATAACTTATGTTGGTGCTGTTATCCAGTGACCTGAACATGAGGGTTTTTGTTAGTTTTATTGCAAGGGAATAAAACACCAACTGGCTTGTGTTCGCGACACGGATCACACATTCCGTATGCGTTTTAAATCGGACGTGTATCTCTATAACCTCTTAGAATACATCTAACAGATTTGTATATTGTTCACCTCACACTAATTGTAGAAAAGCGGGAATTAGTTGAGAGATGCTCATTTTGGACAGTGAAACTCCCACACCTGCTTTATGGTTGTGGTTAATGGTGGCTGGTTTTGGTCGATTGTAAATATCGCAAGTTGGGCCGCTAGATCAATAATCTGTAACATCCCAGTTTAAGAATCAATATGCTTTTAGCACTGCCAAGTGTCAATACATTTTAGGTTTCATTGGTTTTGCGACCCTACGTTCATGAGTTTTATTGGGCAGAAAAGGAATTGCGCAAATGTATAGTCAGGGCAGAGCGCGTAGTCATTTATTGTTCTGTACATTTGTATTTTTTCGCCGTGTGTTGTTTACAGCCCCCGCTGAGGAGTTTGCGTTTGTATAAAGATGTTTTTTTTTATTTGACTGTTTACTCAATGCTTGTTTACCAAGAGATGGAGTTTTTTTTCATGGATATAAGTTGCGGGTTTGAATAGTTGCGTTATTTGTCGTAGACTTAATGCAGTAGTTATATTTTTTTGCAGTGGATATGTGCTGCGTGAATTTGAGAGACATGATGCTGGCCGATTGGCCGTATCTCTTTTAATTTTTTGGTCAAAGAAAACGTCTTTTGATTTTCGCATGCTATGATCCAGGGCGTGGAACGCATTTCCCTCAGCTTGTGAAAATATAATTTTTACCTTAAACTGTACACGTGTACATCTGTATGAAAGTGAATGGTGGCCAGTGAGTGACATCGGATGCAGCAGGTAAGCTTTTTGTCTAACAGTGCCCCCTATGAGTGCTCCAAAGCACACAGTTATGTACGCATTCTCTTGGTCTATCTATAGTGTATATATGCGAGCGTGTAACAGCAAATTGCGCTTGATTCGAGCCTCCAGCTTAGATACCCGGTCTCCATTCTATGCCGAAGCGTGCAAGCGCGCTTTTTACCTACATAGTATATAAATTTAAAAACAAAATATACATATAATTATTCATAAACTTCCTTTGCAGCCATTTCACAATGAACCTTCCCAGGCAGATTCCTCGATTCTTCAAAAATGTGTATGTGACCATGTGTGTATGTAACCAATTCCCAGAACTGTAATAATTTTTTGTATATAAATTGCAACTATTTTCTGACACGCATTACGGTAAAGCAACAACATTTTAATTCCATACAAATGTATTTCCAATCACTTAACATGTCGTTAGAATCCATAACAATCTTATATTACCAGTCCCTTAACACGCAGGTTAATGTAACAATATTTGTAATTTGCTCAGCGTAACTTTTTTTTATCAATTTCTAACGTTTCTATTTTGCAACAAATGTGTGTTTTTTTTCATTCACACGCAACATTGAGTTACAATCCATAACAAGGCAATGTTTTCCGTCCAGATCGTTTCTCCATTACAGCTCAACACACTTCCCGTGATAGCCACGACCGGTTCCCCATTGCCTCACCTCTGGTGAATTAGAGGGGCGACTGGCCTTCGTCTCTTGCGTCTGCCAATGAGCCAGTTTAACACGGAATCTATGGTCCGATTCCTGTTGACTTCCGACAGGGGCATTGTTACCAAAGCACGCATCTGTTTTTTATGCTGATTATAAATATCCCGTTATATAATTTGCAAGAGTTGATCATTGTGTGCCAGTCTCCCGTCTAAAATTCAAATGTAAATAGCTTTAAATGTTCAAAATTAAAAAAAATCCCTTCCGTAGCCAGTTCCTGCAGTTTGCTTCAGATTGAGACTGTATCAATGGTCTATTACTTGGATAATAAACAGGATAGAATTATAAATATAACCATTAAAAACCTGTTCTTTATTTTTAGCGTTTGTTAAATATATTATTTAACGTACGTGGAGTTTTGTAATGGGCTGGGGTCTAGCGTTTGTCCATTTCAGCTGCTCGCTGTACTGTTTTGTCGTTGTGTGTCAGTAGTTTTGTTCTAACGGTCCCCAAACAGGCACTTCATTCACAACACCGAGGCCCAAAGCAGACCGACACTCGGATTAACGGGAGAAGAGTGAAGGAAATAATGGTTTCTGAAGAATAAGAAATCCTGTTTCAATATTCCCCACGTTTAATCCGGCATTTGCTCGTACATTGTAGTCACGGAGAGCAGTCACTGTGTCAAGTTCTCTGTGCACGTGTTTTGTTGTTGGAAGTGAGTCTCTGTGCAGCTCTCGTTTAAGTGACCACGTGTGGATCGGTGCATGTGTCCTGCATTGGATGTAGGATGTGCGGCTGTGTGCATGTGCTGGCCTGGGTTGGGCCCTTTTGAATGTAATGCATATAATAAATCCAAATGGGCGCTGATCTGTGCAGGTTAAAAGTTAAGTAAAATTCACCCGTGCTCTCTTCGGGCTTAAGCGGTGCTCATCTCCACATGGTTTTGAGCAACTGATGGAAATTCCACGTTCTCATGGCACGGCCCGGTTCCCAAAGGAACGGCCACTGCTGACTTGGCACCGAGTGGGTGGTCATATAACTGTGACCCCATGGGGATTACGGTGATGACGGGCCTAGGTTAGCCCTCTTGGTTTAGGAGGCGAATATGGGAATTCTCTTACATGTGGGGTTCTCATCAGTGTGCACAGCCTAAGGTTATACCGAGCGACTAATAATCCGTGACGGACAGGGCAGGTTGTGTAATCGCACCCTGATTGCGTTGTGGCTGTTGTGAGCACGTTGAAGAGGGAAGATCAAGAAGTCTACATAGCAAGGGTATCTGCGTGTGTGTATATATATTCTGCTGTCTCGTTGGGAAAATATTGTCTGGAAGGTATGCATGTATCGATTCGCCCAACACCCTCATGGTTTAGGTGAACGTATTCTTGTTTGCCCATTGCCGTGGCATCCTATGATCTATAGTGACTGCAAAGTTTCCATGGAACTGCATGGTTTCGATGAAGCAATCACACACGGAAACAATTGATTCTTGAGAGCACAATCCGATGCGTGCGTTGTGAGTGCAAGAATCGACGTCAGTATGATGACTCGTTACATGCCTGCCGGAAGGCGAGCTGTTTGTTCCTCTAAATTAACACGTGCTGGTGTCGTCGTTTGTGCTGTGGCAGTCACGCGTTTAATGCACTCTTATTCTTTCGTGACGTTTGTCATGCAGAATGGCGAACCAACAACAGCTGTTGAGTTGTGCAATAAAACATTTTGCAAAATATTGCCGCCTTGCTGCTGCTGCCTTGTTTTGTCGTACGTGCGTGCTTCACGGATGCGTGATGATTATTATGATTAGTGTCACAAGTCTAATGTGATTATAGATCGGATTTGCAAAGCTGTGTTTTTTTTACCCGTCGTGCTATAACATCAAAACATAAAGATGCCCACGTGGAGCTGTAATGCGGGGAGATAATCACAAGAACACATTACAACTAATTACTAATCTACAACTCATTACTAATCATAACCATTGACTGATTACCAATCGATTATATAATTACAATGCCCCCCCAACCTCCGCCTCAATTCACTGCACCTGAAATGAGTTAAATGGTGACATCACCCTGCTGCTCTATTTAAAACCGGGAGCAAGCGAGGGCTTTACCATTCTGGCGAATTGCCCGATGAAGCTGAATGTAATTACCAGCGAAACGTACTCAAATTTTAAATGATGTTGATTCACTCTTGAACACCGGTGGGCTAAATTAGTGAACTATTTGTCCTTTGTAAACTTGACACATTGTTTACTGTCTGGCCGTGTCGGGTGGTGGAGGGTTGCGACACATTTATAAATAACGCGATCTAACCCAAAAACCTTTATTATGAATAATATTAGTCGCGAAAGCCTACGTGTTAAACAGAAGAACTACGGCACAGACATTCGTTCAGCCCTCATCGTCGCGAGCGAACAGAGGACAGGTGTCCATGATGGTTGTTACCTGGTTTTCCGATCACTGCATATTCTTTCCCTTATTTGGGTGTGGTGATCTTGCATGCTTTTACAAGGTCATACTAACATCACTTCAGACATTGTATAATTCATTATTTATCACACTTGTTGCCCAAGGAAAGCCTCGCATCTCTTTTTCAGGAGGGTCCTGATAAGTTTTTGCAGTAGGAGGCGACGATTGAACTGTCTCTCATTTACATACCGGTCAACACAGACGGTTTACGCCGTCATATTTGAGGGGGGGTCTGACTTTTTGTGACGCCGTGTGACTAGGGGGGGTAAAAAATTGTCCAAAATCGCGTGACGTCATTTATGGACGGCCCCATAGGACCTGGGATGAAAGTCGATCGTTGTGCAGGAACACACACCCACGTCTATGCACCCCGCAGGTTACCACGCGTCCCGGTGTGGCCGAGACAGTCCTGTTGACAAAGGATGTCCCGGAATTCCCAATGCAATCTTTGAGAATATTGGGATTTTGTCCCAGTTTCAAATGTTCTGCACCTCATGGTCAAGTTACCTGAGCAGTAGGCGGGACCACTTTTGAATTTGGAGGGGCTGCCAACTCAAGTTTGTATCTATTTTAATATACATTTTAGTTTTTTTTTTATTCTGACATGCAAATTGCATCTCACAATTGCGCTTCGGAAGCGCAAGGGAAGCTGACAGCCAGGCGGCGTGCCCAGTGCCAACAATTGCCCAAGCTCTGCAGTCCTCGATATATGAATATGTTTAATTCTATTACTGGCATTACGATACATTAATATCGCAGTCTCCCCTGGAATCGTGGGTTTAAATCCTTAATTATTATTATTAACCTCGCCACATGTTCTAGTTGATTCGCCTGAAATGTATTCGCCGTTCTTATGCTTCCCAACTTCACGAAACAAGGCGGCGAAGTATAAAAGGCCGTACGGTGCGTATGGAGATGTAATTGGAATAGCTCTGGGTCACGGTGAGCGGTGCTGGTGACAGCAGTCAGGATGGCCGAGCGGTCTAAGGCGCTGCGTTCAGGTCGCAGTCTCCCCTGGAGGCGTGGGTTCGAATCCCACTTCTGACAAGTGTTTTATTTTAATATTATTAAAACCCCATAACACATTTGTGATTGATTACCGGTGCTTTAATTGAACGCGAGTTATCTTTTCATTGACGTTATAATGTATACAATTGTATACGTCATGCAGAGAATAACGTCTTCGCATCAGCGTCGAAATTAATCGACACTGATCAAACCTCCAACCGTGATATCTTGAAATTCCATGGGTTGTCACACCACTCATTGCGCAAACATTACATAACACGCGAACACTTAACCTGTACAAACTGTGTTAATGTCGCTTGCAGGAATACAACAATATTTTGCTGGTGAAAATGTTCAAGTTTTAAACGTTTGCATTATCAGCGCCCTCTGCTGACCAACGCCCAATATGGAACCTCTGGGGACTGCAACAAGACAAAAGGGCCTCCGAATTGGGACGTAAATCCCATTACTTTTCAATTCCTCATACTCTTATAGAAGCGCACAACTTTATCTGTGATGAACGCTGCACTTTTTCCGTCGTTTTCACGCAGGGGGCGCTGTAAACCTACCTTCTCTCACGGCCAGCAGCTCCGTGTCGCCTTATCTCGATCTCGTAATCCCAAACAGGTGGAAGTCCGCATCGAACCGAACCCCCAGCAAGGACATCATCTACTTATCGACGAGAAAAATTTCACAGGAAATGTCGTTTTCAATGAAGTCTTCCAGATGTAAAATGATATAAGCTTTTAATGAAGCTATTAAAAAAAATCAAATTCAAAACATAATACAATTCAAAGATGTTTCGTTTTAAAACTTCAAAACGGAGCATCGGGTGCTTGCGTGAATGCGTCGTTCATCTGCAATTTTTTTGGTGACTTTCCTGTCCGAAGGCCGTAAATGGTTGTGAAGGGCGCCACAGACACCCCCAAACAACCCCGAGTTGAATATAATATTATGACTACTACTACAAAGCGCAATACAATTACAATAATGTAGTTTCTGATTTAAAGCTTTTGTGACTGCAGTAATTCATATTCTTAGCTCTTTCGGTAAAGTCACATTGAAGGGAAACAATAAAATAATAAAATATATATAAAACAATAAAATTCTCACGACGTTTCGACCATAACACAAACGGTCATCATCTGGTGTGAAAACCAACGGCAAGAAACTTCTTTCAAATGTTGTTTTTTCACACCTGATGATGACTGTTTGTGTTATGGTCGAAACGTCGTGAGAATTTTATTGTTTTATATATTTTATTGTTTCCCTTCAACGTGATTTTACCGAAAGAGCGAAGAATAATGTAGTTTCTATACAAGATGGGGAGATACAACACTTGTCTGTGTTTTTATTTCTTAATGTGCATACAAGTACACTCGAGATGAGTGCTCAACTTTTTTGAAACGTGGTTATTTTTGTCTCTTAAATCCTGTTAAATTAGTTCACAATTTTACCAGTAGATCATGAAGTGTTTGCAACGTAAAAAAATGTTAGGTTAAAACTCTTGTTTTCACATAGCTCTTAAAATGTGTATCTTTCCACGTTGTGTCGAAGTTTTTTTCATTCTGCTCGTGGAAATAATATTTCATTCGATGAGCAAATAAAAGTCAATTGATTGGTACAGAACTCAGAGGTGACACTCAATTCTTGTACAGGGTAGGACACGTTAATTGTGACCCTCAATTAATTTACCCCTAGCATTTTTTTCCTTTGCATGTTCATTTCTGTTTTAAATAAAAAAAATTTTTTTAAAAAAGTATATATTAAGTTTTAGAGAATTAAATAGGGAGTCACAAGACATCTGGACCACAGTGTACAGGAAAACACGTGGGGTGTCTAAATTTTGATTTAAAGCTTTCGTGACTGCAGTAATTCATATTCTTACCTCTTTCGGTAAAGTCACGTTGAAGGAAAACAATAAAATAATAAAATATATATAAAACAATAAAAATTCTCACGACGTTTCGACCATAACACAAACGGTCGTCACCTGATGACACCTGATGACGACCGTTTGTGTTATGGTCGAAACGTCGTGAGAATTTTTATTGTTTTATATATAATTTATTATTTTATTGTTTCCCTTCAACGTGACTTTACCGAAAGAGCTAAGAACACGTGGGGTGTCTGTTTTCGCGAGGTTCCGTATCGGGGCAGCAGAGGGCGCGATGAACATTTATCGCCTTTTAAAAGTTTTCAACGGCACAGTTTACTGCACTTTATAATCCCACAAGCGATAATATCCCGTTCGTAGAGACCAAGCGTCTGCCATGTGAAGCGTGTTAGATAATCGCTGTTTATCACTGGTTCTCATGCCCACCTTTGCAATGTTCGGATATTGCAACATTTAGACATTGCAAATGATGAGCGTCATTTAAACCTTTCAGCATCGGTTGTGAAAACGTTAATCTCTGCACGCTGTGTAGAAATTACATGAAAATATATATCCGTATATTGTGAAGGAAAAAAAACAACTAACATTCAGCTAAAGAGAAAATCAATCACAGCAATGTTTATTGTGAGCTTTCATTTAATAAAAAAAAGCACACTGTCAGAAGTGGGATTCGAACCCACGCCTCCAGGGGAGACTGCGACCTGAACGCAGCGCCTTAGACCGCTCGGCCATCCTGACTGTTACCCCCCCGACGGCCTGAACAAAATCTACATAGGCGAGGGTTGTGTGTTGAGTGGGGGGGCATCAGTCGGGCCATGGAGCTACACCACCGCTGCACCACAGGACACGGGCGAAGCAAATGAGGCCCAAGACAGGGTCAGCCCCCCTCCCGCCCCCCGTAGACTGCAGGGCCAGCACCGATATCTCTCACACAGAGCTCCGTTGGTGCACGTCGCTGCGATTCACGATTCACGCGGTTACGATGCTATTTTGACACGATATTTACACGACGTGCGTGGCAATGTATTACGTGACGCAATATGCACACGCACACGTTACTACGGAATAAACTCTATGCTCTTTTATAAGCGCACACCTTTATCTGTCTGGGATGAACGCTGCACTTCCCGTAGTTTTCATGCAGGGGGCGCTGTAACCCTACACGTGCCCCCTGCATGAACGACGGACGAGCAGGGTCAGACGTTCGATCACGTTGGAATCGATCTGCAGATGGGGATCTTCTCGCACGTCCAGCAGCTCCACGTGGCCTGATCTCAATCCCACAATCCCAAACAGGTGAAAGTCCGCATCGAACCGAACTCCTCAGCAAGGACATCATCTACTTAGCGACGAGAGGAAATTCACGCGAAATGTCGTTTTCAATTTAGTCTTCCAAGATGTAAAATGTTACAAGCTTTGAATGAAGAAATACAATGATCTAATTCAAAACATAATGCTATTCGAAGATGTTTCGTTTTTAAACTTCAAAACGGAGCATCGGGTGCTTGCGTGAATGCGTCGTTCGTGTGCAATTCCTTTTGTGACTTTCCTGGCCCGAGTTACATATATTGCACGAAGCCTCCAGGCGATACATTGCTTTAATGTTGGTGAATTGTTTATTTATAGGTTAGATAACTTGTCACTTTCATTTAACCTGAGTGTTAAAACACGGATTGGTGTCCCTTCATACGAAATGGGTGTAAATATTCGTTGTATTAAGATGGAAAAAACACTGACCAAATGTTCAAATATACCAATTCCTTTTCATCCCACCGCGATCTGAACGCAGCATTGTATTGTCCATGCTGAGTTTTTGTTATAATCGTTGATACAATAAAATGTGTTTTGCCCGTCTTATTTAACTATAATAACCATGTAATTTGAAACGCGCACAGCACTTCATGGACATAAATAGTCCAAGGCACGGCGCCAGGTTCAGTGTCACCTTAAAATCAGGTGAGAGGTTGGGGCCATTAAGAGATCGGTGACCTTCAAGTGTCTCTTAAAAGTCGGTGTAGATTTACTCATTACCGTACTTATTCACTTAAAGTGTCTCTTAAAAGTCGGCGTGGATTGAATGCTGCTAATGTGTGGCATGCGGGGTGATGGCGTTCCAGACGGAGGGGGACTGCCACGGAGAAGCGACGCCCGGCAATGACGGACCCTGGTCCTTGGTAGAGAGGTGGAGATGGATGGAGGTTGAGTTGTTCTGCTGATACGACCTGTCCTGAGTTGTAGCGCAGGACGACAGGAGCGAGGAAAGATAGAGTGGACAAGTGAGACGTGTACGATGACAGAGGCAACATAACTTGTAGCTGACCCTGCTGGGAAGGAGTGGAGGTAGCGGAGGTGAATCGAACCAAGGATGGCAGGAGGAGGTTGTGAGTTGTTCTGCTGATACGACCTGTCCTGAGTTGTAGTGCAGGACGACAGGAGCGAGGAAAGATAGAGTGGACAAGTGAGACGTGTACGATGGCAGAGGCAACTTGTAGCTGACCCTGCTGGGAAGGCAGTGGAGGTAGCGGAGGTGAATCGAACCAAGGATGGCAGGACCTTTGCTACCGTTGGAGTTTCTTAAGGTTACTTGAAGAACGAAGATACACGCAATTAATATTATAGTGCTGAATGTTTATCTTGTATTGACCTCGTCTATTGCCATTTCTAATGAGGGTCTCATTTGCCTCTTGTATTCTCATTAACACTCTCAAGTTGTGCTCTCGATGGTTCGATATGGTTTGTATCACATCCCATTGGCAGTATACATTTTAATAATGCTCTTCGTGTTTGTGGATGTTTTTCAGTATGTTATTATTGTAATATGGATTAACTTGCATGACACAATGTTAGCAATGCTAAACTCAGATTACTAACTTAAGGAATTTAATTGATTAAACCAATGAATAAACACCAATTGTTTTGAAATGAATAAACCTTTTATTGACAAAAACAACTTATGATACAATATACAATAGAATGTAACTTTACATAAAACAACAATATACATTGAGACAAATATATTTCTGGACATAACAAACGTCTGTCTTTAATCCAAAGGAAAATCTCTTGCATTCCTTGGCAATAGTGCTTGCCCTAATTGTCCAAGAAATGACACCAAATCTCTGTTTAATGATGCTGATGCTTCTGCTTCCAGTTTGCTCTGTTCACGGTCTAAATTCATCTGCCTCTCTTTCATCTCTCGGTCGGCCCGCATTTCTTGACGCAGAAAATCCATGAACCTTTCATCGGAATCTCGCATGCATTTTGCAAATTCTGAGACAGAATTTGACGCATCTGTCCTTTTTCGCTTTTTCCCTGAAAAAAAACCACGCAAACATGTTGGGGTGAAGCAATGCGTTAACATCAAACAAAATAACTGTCAATGCCGGAGCATAAAACGTATACTGTAGTTTCTAGCTTCATTTTTCAGCTTTATCTTTTTAATATACGTTGCCATGGTGTGATATACCATGGTCACTCATTCGACCTGGCGTAGCAGTTGAACCAATGGGCAAGACGACCTCCTGGCGCGTCTGGCCAGCGTGGAAGAGTTAGAAGAGTCCGCAGAAATATGCCCTCTAATAGCCTGTGGGGCTCTCCAGCAGATGCCCTCCTGCCAGCAGTGGCGTAATTAAGTAGTTACAGGGATGAACATTTTGACGTTTACCTCGATAATGCAAATCTAAAGTCGGCATCGCGTCTAAAATGTCTTGTTTGTATACACAACTTAGACGCTTACCCTGCGTGGTCCTGGGACTTGTCACGTGCGTTGCTGATGAGGGGCCAGGTTGTGCGTTGGAAGTGCTGTTGACAGACGATGCATTCTCTAAAGTGCACAACAGGACATCGAGGCGAGGGAATATAAAGACATTTTTACAAATACATGTATTCACTTACAACTGTATCCATACCTCAAACACAACTGAATGACATCTTGTCATGAATTTAAAGTGCAGTCAAGTAGTTATGAAATGACAAGTCCATTTTCCTCAGTACAAATATGTATCATGATATGTAAACATCTGGAGGGTATGTCTGGAACTCTATTTTCGTTTCATACATGTTAGAACTTCATTGTAGTTCCACGGCACAAAATCCAAATCGCTCGGAACCGAGGTACTGTCGGCTAATGTGCACTGGCGTATGCGATGTTGTACACGTACGTCTCTTGTCTGGTGATGTTTTGGTGACATTTCTTAGTTTTAAGAAGAGGCCAACGAACTTTATACGCTCACAAAGGTGTCTTTCTAATTGTGCCCATTCTGGAAATGTGATTAAATTGAACTGCATGCTAACGTGGTATGTAATAGCACTTTGTACGGCTGTACGGAGGTGGCGGGGTTGATTCCCCGGCGCGGCAGTTAAAATAATGATGGCCAAGTTGTGTTTTTTTGTAAAATTCCATCTCCTCTGTCCCCTCAGCTGTGTAAATGAGTAACCACCCCAGTTAAGGCGATCGGCAGGTGGCGTTTGGTGAGTTAAAGCGTGGGTACCCCCACCTCTACCAACACGGCTGACCCAGCGTGGAAGAGTAGACCAAATACCCTATTAGAGGGGCTATCTAGAGCTCCCTCTAGTGGAGGCCCTACCACCAGCAGTGGCATGGGCAGGCAATTGCAGGGCTGCGCTTTCACCGATTACACCTCCGATGAGCACAATTGGCTACGCAAGGTGGTGCGAAGTTCAACATACATACATTACTTTGAACTGCGTATAAAGTACTGTTACTACAAACCAAACAATCCATCGTGCATATTGTGACTGTTTTCTTGCATGAGTTAAAACAAAAAAAATCTAATTTGCCTTTCATTCAGTAATACATCTCACCAGATTCTTGCGGAGAATCCAACACTTCTCCCAGTGAGAGAGCCGGCGAGTTTGACGCGGCGGGCACAACCTTTGCCGGTCTGTTTCCCAGCACCGAGTCGAACAGGTGGTAATATTTACTTTTCTTCTGGTCCGCCGCTCCACCCTGCTCGTTGTGTCTCTTCATCGTCTTGTACTCGTGCTTTAGTTTCTTCGCCTTTTCGCGGCACTGTTTGAGACTGCGGTTTATGCCAATTTCTTTCAAGTCGGCAGATATCCTGGCATAAACTTTCTCATTCCTCACCGATGACTCCAGCTCTGCCTGCACACTCTCATCTGCCCAGAGAGAAACCAGAGCCTCTATTTCCTCGGCGTCCCAAGGCTGTTTCTTATCCTCTAACTCACTGCACGCCATGTTGTTGCTGTCCATCTTCCCCGCAGTGTCGCTTGCTTACTGCAGTCCCGACCGACACGAAGTATGACAATTTGTTTTTATTAATCTCGCCCGGGGCCCTGTTTGACCCCGAGTAAGATTCAGATGTCTTGTAAAGTGAGCGTTTTTTATGGTTTGCTTCTGTTTAGACTAGACAACAAAAGTCCAGTGGAAAATTACCCGTACCGTGAAGGCCCAGCGCCGGCGCGGCTCGGATGTGCTGGTGAAAAAGGCGTAATGGTGGCGTGCCAGCCCCTTCCTCTGTCAGCCCCGCCAAATTTGCATAACCCCGCCCCGTCGTCGATAGCACCGCCCACTGGACCGTGAGCTCCGCCCCCTAGATAGTGGGCCCCGCCCCCTAAAGTTGTCCTTGCTCTGGCGTCAGCCCCGCCCCACTGCTCATCACCCACCCCCCAGCTAAGATGGCCGCTGTCTTTACCACATCGCTGTGGACGTCACGGAATTAACGCAATCCGGGCCAGATCACCGTGCGAGTGGGCGGCGATTTGACGAAGGCACGCCACCGGGGATATTGCATGTACACAGGCACAGAAATGACTCGTAGTTTCACGGCGTCACGAGCCAACAACGGTCCGCGGGCACTGCTGTGGACATATTACCCACCCAAGATGGCCGCGTAACGTCACGGCGTCGAGTGACGGTGGAGCTGCGACGCTCGTGGGGCGAGCGGGCGGGCGGGAGGCAGAGATGGCGGCGCGCGTGGTGCGGCGTGCGCTGAGCCTGGGAGCCGGGGTCCGCCCGGCCGCTTCGGTCTCCCGCTGGCAGAGGCTGCTCAACTCGAGGATCGGTAAGGGAAGCGCCGCGGTTGGGTCCGTCGCCCGACGTTACGCTCGCCGCCGTACGAACCCTGCGACCCGAGTTAAGATTTCTGGTTACTGTTGTCACCAGCGGAAGGCGACCATCTGAACCGGCGCCTTCAGGTCTTCTCGGCCTCGTGTCAGCACCTGGTGCGGTGTGTAAACGTGGGGAGACGAGGCGGCCGGGCGTGGGTGCTGCTGCGCTCGCCGTCCCCCTCGCTCAGATATATGCATGTTTATTTTGGCTTCCCAAGCGAGAGTATTCCTTTCTGTGTTCGTCTTTTGCGCCTTGTCTCCATTTCGTTCAATGTCCTTCATCTATTCTTTGTAAACGTGAGCGGTACGCTCAACTCAGGTGAAGAACCAGGATACAGTCTACAGTATAGACTGCCAGTACACTCACCAAACTTAATAAGCAGGCTACAGTCTACATTATAGACTTCCAGTACACTCACCCAGCTTAATAACCAGGCTACAGTCTACATTATAGACTGTCAGTACACTCACTCAGTTTAATAACCTGGCTACAGTCTACATCAGACTGCCAGTACACTCACCCAGCTTAATAACCAGGCTACAGTCTACATTATAGACAGCCAGTATACTCACTCGGTTTAATAAGCAGGCTACAGTCTACATTATAGACTGCCAGTACACTCACCCAGCTTAATAACCAGGCTACAGTCTACATCATAGACTGTCAGTACACTCACTCAGTTTAATAACCTGGCTACAGTCTACATCAGACTGCCAGTACACTCACCCAGCTTAATAACCAGGCTACAGTCTACATTATAGACAGCCAGTATACTCACTCGGTTTAATAAGCAGGCTACAGTCTACATTATAGACTGTCAGTACACTCACTCAGTTTAATAACCATTGCCACAGTCTACATTATAGACTCAGTATACTCACTCCGATTAAGAACCAAGCTACAGTCTACATTAGTGTTTTCTTGTTTTAATATTTTTTATGCACCTAATTTTTTTATTTATTTAAAGCTTTTATCTACGTGACTTCACCGAAAGAGCCAAAGAATATTCTTCAAATACTTAACTGTCTTATTGTCTCCAACCCCGAGAACCTTTGATCTTTTGTCTTCCTTAAGACGAGACACTGAATGTCGAAACCGTTCCCAGAGTTTGCTTGTATTGAATCGACGCAGCTGAAATTATACACTCCCAGAGCACCATGCGGCTGATGGGCCGTGTAAGAAATGCTTTTATTTATTATGTTGCAGGACAGATGTCTGGAGGAGACGAATTGCATATTTATTTTGACCTTAATATGTTTTGAAAGTCCTGGGCACTTTATCTTCCATTTTCAAATCAGTCCTCAGAAAATCTGTAAATTTTTGCGAAACACCTCAAATTCTTAGGCGAATAAAGGTCCCCCTGTCAATAAATAATGTGGTGGCCCATAGCATGGCGATGTCAATTCCACATTCCTATGGCAAGGAATACATACAAAATAACACTTAAATAATGCTTGCTGAGCACAGACCCAAAATGTCAAGCAATAAACAGCACTATTAAAATCGTATTATAAAAGAATTGATGTTTCTTGAATTGAGCAAAGTTGTCAGAACCTGAGAAATTAAATGATGGGTGGGACTTAAATATGTATAAAAGCAAAAATCTCAACATGTTCACCTTTCCCCCCCCGCCAGGTGTGTGGTGTAAGAGCCTGCTGAGCGACTACACCGACGCGTGCAAGGACGTGGTGGTGGGCGCCTGGGAGCGGCCCTTGCGCGCCGCGATCTACACAGCGGTTCTGGCCGGCGCTGTTGTCTCCGCGAGGACGGCGCCGGACGAGCACTCTTTCCAGGTGGCGCTACTGGAGGCGAGCGGAGAGCTGCTGCTTCTCTCCCCGTCGGAGCGCAGCCCCACCACGGACTGCCATGTCCAGGCATGTGCCCTCCGCATGTCATGTCAGTAATGTCCCAGTCAGTTTTCCATTCCTGTTAACTTTGTGCTCCTGTGATATCACCACGAAGTTACTCGCTCTAAGTGACCGCGTGTGAACCCACCTTAAGACATTGGTGGATCGGCACTCTTGACAGATATGTGACCTGTGAGCTACCCAGCCACCTAACTACCCAGCGGTATAATCTTAGTTGCAATGTTGTCATCGACATCATGTTGTGAGTTAGAGAATGTGTTTATATCATCCTTGTAGTACTGGGAACAGTCCCTTTCTAAAGTTTGGTGTGGGCTTTTTACACCCAACTTTGGATAGCGCATACTTATGCCCTGTACACTTTATCTGTCATAACAGACTAAATGTCTCATCCTCAGAGGTAGAATATAATCAATTATGAGTTAAACTCAAAGTAACATGATGGGGTGTTTTTTATGTAATTGTTGATGACCTGTCAGGAAAAGCAGCCTGCTGCACTAAAGACTTGGATTACCTAATAGATGGCTGAAACTGAGATGTCAAACCCAAGGCTTAAAACTTTGGTTCATTGCTGACATGGCTACTATTCCCAGCTACTTACTAGGTAGATTTGTTTTTATATCAGTGCAATGTCAGACCTCACAGAGATGGTAACATCAAATATGTAAAAAAAAGGATGGTGATATGCAGGACAATATACTTGCATGTGCAGCCTCTCCTGTATGAGGGCTTTTCCACACACTGCACATTGTGAGGAGTATTACATTCAAAAAGGTGGCTTTACCATTTTGTGGGGATTGACCATTCTTGAATGTGCTGGTGAGTGTGGGTTGGCACAATTCTGCTTAGGTCTTAATGTCTTTATTTTAGGTTCACATAAACAATTTATTCTCATTTTTAAGTGATTAAACAGGAAGTACTTTATATTTTAATGAATTCCAAAGTTGTTTATATTTGATCGAGCCAAGTTGAACAGATTTGGTTTTTATCTGCGAAATGTTGGCATAGGCCCTGCTGAAGCACCGTGAGGGTGGCACCCTGCGCTTCAGCAACCTCTTATTCTGCTCCGTGGTCTACTCAAGCCCCTACGCGCCCGAGTGTCAGCTGTATGCAGCACAGTGCAAGAATCTTAAGCCCAGGTGGGTTCTACTGCTGCACTTTGCCACTGCTGCCTCCACCTATGAACTTTTTCCATATTCACCTTAACTGCTTGGTAGCCTGGTATGCTGGCAGGCCAGATCATTTAAACTGTAACATAAATTCCCCAAATTTTATTCCTGTTACACTACATGTTACAAGATAAAAAAAATGATCAGTTCCAAATTATTGCAAGAAGCAATGCAGAGATTAGCCCCGTTTGATATTATATGAATACTTCTGATGTCTCTGCAGTAGATCCAATTATTTACACTAGATTCATATATGTGATATGTCCTGCAAAGGGTGTTGCATATCACACAATTGGTTTACTGCTTAGTACTGGAATAAACAGATTTTAAATGAAAAGTAAAAATCATTTTGCTGGTTTCTTTGAATAATTATCGGTGACTCGGCTAAGACCATCAGCCAACTAGAACCTGGTTTAATGACAGGTGGCTGCTTGGATCTTAATTCAGGATCTCAGTTATTCAGACTGAGTTCTCTGATCTAGCATTAGCTCCCTTGGACACCAGGCCACCTGCAGAGTGCACCAGTCCATTGTGGTAACTTTACATTTCTAAGCGGTACACACACATGTGTACTGTCTGCACCGCTGGTGTGTTTTTTACCTCACATTTATAACTAACTTAAAGTTGCATTGACATGTGGGAGTCCTGCATTCATCTTCTCGGAGGAAATTGCAGACTTGCGGTACTTCCTCCTACCATCATAAAACATCCATGTTTACAAGGGATCGAACGTGTATGTACACACATACACGGAGAAAGATCCCCTGTATAGCATGCAAGGAGATTGTCTTGTCAGCACTATACCTGGCATATATACATAGAATCGACTACTTATTTAAGGCTACATCAACCTAGGGGAGGCCCATAACCGGTTAAATAATTGTCACTTTTTAGCTATGGCCAGGAAGCGAACTCCGGTCAACGGGTTTGTAGAACAGTATGCAAACCACTGAAAGTATTTTTGCATCCTCTTTCAAGTGTTATACCAAATATTTTGTGCAACCGTTGAGCTATGTTCCTTGGCACAGATGGGTGGATTTCCCGTCGCGCGTGCTGGATGTCGGCTTTGGCGGGCGTTGGTGGATGCTTCACAAGAAGGCGCACGACTATGACATCAACGATGGGGAGTTTGAGCAGCTGTCACCCGCCCAGCGCATTGTCTTGCATGAGGACTTACACTCGCAGCGCAATGAACAACTCCACGAGCTGCGCTACCGGCAGCCGGTCACGCTCACCGATGAACAAGTGCGGCAAGCCGAGCAGGTGCGGCAGGAACCGCTCTCGGTAAAGGTTTAGAATGAGCCAGTGTGGACTTGCTGTATTTTTATCAGCGCTAAATCATCTGGCTGGATGCGCATGTTGATTACACCCATGTCACCGGGTCATTCTTCATGGAGATGGTGGTTTAACTCTGGAATGTGTCACATACCGATTCCGAAGGAGAATTGCCAAAGCGTTTTGTGTGCTGTAAAAAAAAAAATCGGATTTTATTTACACTACAAAGCTATTGTGTGGGCCATGGGGCGCTGACATGGCCAAGCGGTTGTGGGTTTGCCGCTTTTTTCATATATATCAGTTCGAATCCTGAAAGCCATCCTGGTTAATGCAGCAGGTGTCTTAACGATTAAATACATGGTGTATACTTAATAGTAGATGTTAAAGATCTTGTGGCAATTCAGAAAGAGTAGGCCATTGTGTACCATCGTCATGGTCCAAACTTGAAAGAAAAAAATAAAATTGCGATAGCACTAAAATATCCACTTGCAGGCCAGTGATTAAAGTCACCTCATGCCGAATAGGGAAAACTACAACTAGAAGTCCCCATCGAATGTTTGAGATGATATGTGATTGATGCATAGACGTGCCATACAAATGCTAAAATTATAAAAGTAGTACAGGGATGGGTTATACACCAAAAAGTTAATAAAACTAAATTAAAAGTTTTAGTGGCTCTAATCTGACATGGAGAGTTCGGAAAAATGTTTAATGGAGAAAAAAAGCTTGGTCACCAATGCCTTACTATTGCCCCTTACAAGTCCTTTGTGGTAGGGACAATGGTAATATGAAAAACAAATTTGTCTCCCTCCTAAAAATATAATAATGCGGTGAAATTCTCAGATGGATACTCTCAGCCAGTGGTGAAAATTCCACATTTACATGACAAGCGCCATTTCCTTGATAAGACGAGTGCTGTCGACTTTTGCGCAAAGTAGCTGTACTCATTCATCCGAGAGGGATGGTGATGAGCTAAATTGTCAATCCCCGACTGATTTGAACTCGCCACCTTCCAATTGCGAGTTGAGTGTTCTGATACATTGCCACCTTACCAGATGGTCCTCTTATAACTAAGTGTGTATGTATACATGTCATTACATCCTGTGTTATAATGTATATTGGTTTATTTAAAAATGTTTATTCATCATTACATTTATAACTCCAGACCGAAGGATGAGCCGTGCACCAAAAATACGCAAATAATATTTTAGACCAAAATTCTAGTTCGTTAATATTGAAAGGGCTGGACATGACCTGGAGATCGGGCAAACACGTTGGCACCGGTTGGGTCTCTGACCACTGGCCCATCCAGACCCGGCCCTGAGAAGGACGTCGGGCTGAGGGAACCTCAGGGTCCTAGCCTACCGACCACTGGCACCGCACTCAGCCCCGGCCCTCAGAAGGACGTCGGGGTTTGGGGTCCAGGGTCTTGTCTCCAGATGTCTCCTCGATTTTGGCTTGAGGCGAACTGCCTTCTCTCAGGATCCCGCCTTTTATACGATTCCCCACCGAGGGGCGGGGTTCTGTGGGATCACAGATCCCCCACAGCCCCCTCCCCTCAGGAGGGGTTCTGGCCATAGGTAACCCAACCGGTCTGTACTTGTTTATACCGCTTTCCACCGAGGGGCAGGGTTTTGCGGAAACCCACACCCCACAGCCGCCTCCCTTCAGGCGGGGTCTTGGTCAGGGGTAACAACGACCCCGCACCGGTAGGTACTGTTTGGCGTGTGCGTGTTCCAGTGTGACCACCACACATATACAGGGACTCCTCCACTTATGAACGTTCGATTTACGCACTTTCAGAGACAAACAAACCTGGCCTGTTCGGACCGAGAGTTGTAAGTTCAGCCACCGCACAATAGATGGTGGTGGTGCCATCTACATCTGCAGAACATGAAGAATCAGTGGCATTGTGGCGCCAGCGGAGCAGCTCGGCCGGCGCTACCCTCTCCTTGCACCCCCCCCCCCCCCCCCACGGACGCACGCACGCCCCACTAAACACTCACGTGCACCCCCGTAGGGTCTCGAGGAGGGATCACCTGGTACGATGGGTTTTCACCCGAGGACTCCATTAACAGGGACGTTCCACGGTTTCCCCGGACCAGGAAATTGGCTGAGCCCCCCAGACCGAATTACATGGCGGCCCTCCCTAAAAGGGGGCATAGAGCTTTACAGGACGGCCGCGATGAAGCATTCACAACACGGGGGGGATGGGACCTCAAGGCCAGCATCCAGCGGCAGTGTAAACTGGGGTGGGAGGGAAAAGCCCCTCGGCAGATAAGAGTTGATTTAAGTTGGAGGGAGCTAGGGGATTATCGGTGAATCAACGACGAGGAACGCAGGTACAGAGACAATGGGAAGGGGGGGGGGGATGACGCAACCCCCCTCAAGGGCCAGAGCGCTCAAAACGGCCGTAAAAAAGGATTCGATTGGAGGCGCAGGATGATGTCATAACCGGGGGGTTAAGGGGCTTTGGGGACGTAAGGGGGCCGGAGGGTCGGATTGAATGTGAATTCTTCTGGCGCGGTGGAAGAGACCAGCCGTCCTCAGCGTCCGTACGACGCATGCAGAGTGGAGCTGGAAACGATTGGCCAGAAGAAGTCCCCAAGGTGAGCATCTTCCCCAACCCCCATCAGGCAGCTGAAGAGGTGAGTAGGTACGGGAAGGGGGGCCAATTCAGTCCAGATCGCCGTCAGCTCGAGCTTTGGGGTTAGACGCACTCTGCGATGGCTAGGTGATAGAAGGTTAGGCGCTGTCCGAAGGGTGCTGGCTGGAGGGGGCCATAAACGGGTCCCTATTCGCTGCGGGAAATAAAGCTTAGCACAGACTGATGTGATGCGTGGTGCATGTGAATAGCGGTGGGACAGCGATTGGCGTACGACGGTGTGTGGGTGACTAAATCAGTGTTGGTATGACGCGCGCGCATGTTAAAATATCAACGGTTGCCCACGCTCGCGCGTGTGTGTGCGTGCACCGCTGTGTTAACGGTGAGACACACGTGAGTGTCACGTGTGTGTGCGTGCACTGCAGTGTTAACGGTGAGACACACGTGCCACTAGTGTCTGTGCGTGCACCGCAGTGTTAACGGTGAGACACGCGAGTGTCACTAGTGTCTGTGTGTGCACCGCAGTGTTCACGGTGAGACACGAGTGTCACTAGTGTCTGTGTGTGCACCGCAGTGTTAACGGTGAGACACACGCGAGTGTCACTAGTGTGTCTGCGTGCACCGCAGTGTTAACGAGGAGACACGCGTGGGTGTCACTAGTGTCTGTGTGTGCACCGCAGTGTTAACGGTGAGACACGTGAGTGTCACGTGTGTCTATGTGTGCACCACAGTGTTAACGGTGAGACACGCGCGAGTGTCACGTGTGTCTGTGTGTGCACCATAGTGTTAACGGTGAGACACACGTGAGTGTCACTAGTGTCTGTGTGTGCACCGCAGTGTTAACGGTGAGACACCACGAGTGTCACGTGTGTCTGTGTGTGCACCACAGTGTTAACGGTGAGACACCACGTGAGTGTCACGTGTGTCTGTGTGTGCACCGCAGTGTTAACGGTGAGACACACGTGAGTGTCACGTGTGTCTGTGTGTGCACCACAGTGTTAACGGTGAGACACACGTGAGTGTCACGTGTGTCTGTGTGTGCACCGCAGTGTTAACGGTGAGACACCACGAGTGTCACGTGTGTCTGTGTGTGCACCACAGTGTTAACGGTGAGACACCACGTGAGTGTCACGTGTGTCTGTGCGTGCACTGCAGTGTTCACGGTGAGACACACGTGAGTGTCACGTGTGTCTGTGTGTGCACCGCAGTGTTAACGGTGAGACACGCGCGAGTGTCACTAGTGTGTGGTTGTGCACCGCAGTGTTAACGGTGAGACACGAGTGTCACGTGTGTCTGTGTGCACCGCAGTGTTAACGGTGAGACACACGCGAGTGTCACGTGTGTCTGTGCGTGCACCACAGTGTTAACGGTGAGACACACGTGAGTGTCACTAGTGTGTCTGTGTGTGCACCACAGTGTTAACGGTGAGACACGAGTGTCACTAGTGTCTGTGTGCACCGCAGTGTTAACGGTGAGACACCGCGAGTGTCATTAGTGTGTCTGCGTGCACCGCAGTGTTAACGAGGAGACACGCGTGGGTGTCACGTGTGTCTGTGTGTGCACCGCAGTGTTAACGGTGAGACACGCGCGAGTGTCACGTGTGTCTGTGCACCGCAGTGTTCACGGTGGGACACACGTGAGTGGGTGGAGTGGGTGGGTGGGGGCGCGTGAGCGCCGATTTATTTATTAATATCCAGACCGAGCGGGAGCGTTCGCCTTGTTGACACAACGGCTTAGTGGAAATTATTAATTAAACCCCACGAGCGGCGAGTCAAACAATATTACATAATTCGCGTGGTTAGGACACACGAGGGGGGGGTGGAGGGGGCAGACGTCGCATCCCACCCGCTCGCGGGGAGTGGGGAGGGGGAGATGAGCCCCCACCTAGTGGAGAGGGGGGCATTAGCCCCCACAGCATCTACAATAGATTACACAACTTTTGAAGCCATTCCCCGTGTTTAGCGTACATGCCTTACAACATGTTTGGAATTAACAGGCGTAAAGTTGGACTTGCGAACATATCCACTTATGAACAGACATCTGGAACCTAACTCGTTCGTAAGTAGAGGAGTCCCTGCAGTTTGCGGTCGGGCAGTGTTAATGAATAGTGTGTTCTTGTGCACCTCGGATGATGCAGTCTTTTAAAATTGTAATTTATATGTTGAATTTCCATACCTTACCAGTACAACAATAATGATGAGTTCACTAGTTGATTCTATGTAGCCATGCATATAAGAGCCACTTATGCATAGTGTATTAAAATGCTACTTTAAGGGTAATGGTATGATGCAGAACATAAGTGACTTTACATTGAGATTTCAAATAGAAACGTTTTATTCTAAAATCAAACTGATTAAAAATCGTGACTCGCAGCTAGGAGGGAGTTTAATCGATAAATGCTTATTAACAACAGCCTACAGTACATGTGAGTGATCCACTTGAGCTGTCTATGAATCAAATGCAGTACAGGAAATATTAATCTTCATTTGTTGCTTCAATGATTCAACCTCGGTTAGACATACCAGAGGCACACTGCGGTTGTTTTAGGGCCGTGTTATCAGAGGCACCAAGAGATGTCATGGATATTTCAGGGAAGTTTGACATAGCCCCGTGAATAAACAAGTGTAAGTTTTTTTTACAGGGAAAATCCCTCCTATAACAATTTTTTCATTACAATAAGTTACCACACGGAGTCTTAACTCGTGTGATAGTGTTGCTGCAAGAATGTAAACAAAAAAATTTGACTGACATACAAAATGCACGCCTTCAAAAAGTGTGAATATTGATGTCTTTATTTTGATAGGTAAGTTTCATTGAAATCACAAAAACTAAATATATTTAAATTCACACGAAAACATGCTGTCACCAGATATTCGAACCCACGCCTCCAGGGGAGACTGCGACCTGAATGCAGTGCCTGAGACCACTCGGCCATCCTGACTGGCATGGTGTTTGTTACTGGAGCATTATTTTAACCAATTCTCCGCAATCGATCCATGTGCTTCATGGGATATATACTGTACATTCTAATTTTTTATCCAGGTGAGAACACAGTGATTCAAGAAATACATTACCAACCATTTTTTGACATCTTAGTTGTCATTTAGACAGACTCATGATCTTAGAAGGAGGAAATTCCAATATTTGCTCAGAAACATCCGTGAAGAATATTCATAACCAAGATGCATTTGATCAAGGAAATGCAGTGATTGTTACTAATGTTAAATTGAGGGTATTGCTGAATCTTTTCGCCAAATTGAATCGAAATTGTACTGCTGGTGTCATGCATGGTATGAAGTACATTTGGACTTCGTGCAGGGCTGGTCTCTGCCCTATGTGAGACAATGGTTCATGGAAAAATATATCATAGAACTGATTCACAAAATATCATCAAGTTGCTTCATATCCACACCAGAGGGGCAGCACTATTCTCCCTACCCTACAACAGGAAGACATTTGGTTGTATAGCAATCATAGCAGTGTTATTCATTTTCATTTTACATGTTTTAAT